GTGGTCCGAACTGTATTCCGGAAACTTCGGCAGCATAAAAATAAGTAAAAAAGTTCGTATAAATGTATATCCTAAAATGTTTAATTTCGGAGATACAGGGTGTAGAAGTTTCATTTTTATTTCGACTTTTTCCAAATAATTTCTGAAGTAATGTCAATATTTGGATCAAAATTGGTGACATGAGAAATTTGATTTTGATGTTAATATGACTCCTACTAGTAGAGAGCGCCACCTACATATTTTTTAACTGGTATGAAGAGTAATAACTTTTCGTCCGTACCTGTATAAAACTACTGAGTAAAAAAACATACACTTACGACGTTTTTTACGTGAAAAGGGTCTCTTGGTAAAAATCGCTACGAGTAATGGTTTTCGAGATATTTGGAATCGAATTTATCAATACCTGTCATCATTGACATAAATTAACATGTTGACTAAATAGTTCTTAGACTGAAAGCATAAATTTGAAATGTTTTTGTGCCAAAAGTTCAACAGAAACTATTTTATCATCATTTTTTGCAGAAAAATTTATGATTAATTTAAAAAAATAAAAATTTCCTAAATTTATTATTTCAGTGAAATAGTAATAACTATCTAATTAATAGAAAACTATCTATTCAACGTGTTTATTTTTCGTCAATAATGACATGTATTGTCTATTTACATTCTAAATATCTTAAGGACGGTTGCTCGTAGTGATTTTTACAAAGAGATATTTTTTTACGTAAAAAGTAACAGAGATGGATATTTTTTCGCTCGGTAGTTTTATACAGGTAAGGACAAAAAGTTATTACGCCTCAAAACAGTTAAAACATATGTAGGTGGCGCCCTCTACTAGAAGGAGTCATATTGATACCAAAATCCAATTTCTCATGTCAAAAAACTCCCAGACACCAATTTTCATCCAAATATTAACGTTACTTCAGAAATTATTTAGAAAAAATCGAAATTAAAATGAAACTTCCCCTACACCCTGTATCTCTGAAAGTAAGCATTTTAAGACATTTATACGAACTTTTTTACTTATTTTTATCTGCAGAATATGCTGCCGAAGTTTCCGGAATATAGTTCGGACCACCGTGTATATAAGAATATATCTACAATATTTCTCAATGGGTAAATATACCCTACACCTAAAATTAAGGTGTTCATTTAAATGTACAGGTACAAACCGAGGTTTCATTTATCCCCCATCACTGATACTTACTCATATCTATTGTTTATCTATATATTTGTTATATCTATGAAAAATTTTACAAGGATGGGGCTGCAGAAGATTTTGAGAATTCTACAGCAACAATTTTCTGTGATTTTTCTAAGGCGTTCGATTGTGTAGATCATAAGATCCTAATTAATAAACTGCAGCACTATGGGTTCAGGGGATCATCTCTCGAATGGTTTAAGTCGTATCTGAGCAACAGAAGTCAACTTGTGAGGGTGGATACCACGTTGTCTTCTAGCAAGCCAATAGAATGTGGAGTACCACAAGGCTCAGTACTAGGCCCTATTTTGTTTCTTCTTTTTATTAACGACATTGCTAACATAAACATCAGTGGCAAAATATGTCTTTTTGCGGACGACACTAGCTTCTCTTGGAGCAACAAGGACATCGCGGCACTTCATAGGATTATATCAAATGACTTAATCACCATCAAATCTTGGTGCGATTCGAACCTCCTGAGTCTCAACATTTCTAAAACTAAGGCTTTTGACAACACCACCATTGACGTCGTAAAATCTGTAAAATTCTTAGGGCTTGTTGTGGACAATTCTCTGAAATGGGACATATATATCGAAGCTTTGTCGAAAAAATTGAGCTCTGCCTGTTTTGCATTAAGGTCTGTTTCTAAGGAGCTTAACTTGTCAGTGGCTAGAACTGTTTATTATGCACTTTTTGAGTCGCACCTCAGGTATGCCCTTCCATTCTGGGGTACGTGTTGTGCGGCTCAATTTGACCGCATTTTCAAGCTCCAGAAGAGAGCTGTTCGATATTCACTGGGACTAAACAGCAGAACTCATTGCCGGGGCTTTTTTAGAGAATTAAAAATATTGACTCTTCCTTCCTTACTTATATTTGAATCCGTTTGCCTAATACGTAAACATGTATCAGCTTCTCAAGAAAGGCCATCTCACACTTATCCACTCAGGAACGCGGAGCAAGATCTTTATCTACCAACCCACGCTCAGAGTTAGTTAAAAGTTCAATATTATACAACTCGAAAAAAATGCACAATCACCTGCCATTTGAAATCAAATCCATAACATCATTTTTTTCATTTCGCAGAGCATTGAACTCTTATTTACTAGACAAGGCTTTCTACGCCGTAAATGAATTATATTTGAATTGAAAATCGAATTTGATCTTGAAAACACTGGTCTAATGTTTCCTATTGCTATATTTACTAATGACATCGAAATTAATTTATTTAGAGGTCATTGATATTTTACTATAAACTGGCTAAATATTTTTGAATATTATTTTAATTTTTTTTTGTTCTTTGACATTGTAAACATTTATAAATGTTTATTTTAACATTAAGACTGACAATATTATTTGTATAATGTTTTGTATTATCTTATGTTTGTTTGTTTGTGTACCTTGTTTTTTTTACTTTGTTTGTTAGTTTACCTTTGTCTACAAATTGAAAAATTTTTTGACAATAAAGGCAAAAAAAAAATTTAGTATGCCCTAGAATAACCAAGAAAGATACGTCATTTCGAAAGGCAATTCCTGTATAAGATCGTCTAAAACTCGATAGAAGACTTTCCATTCTTTTTTCACGTCCGTTGCGGTGCACCCTATATTAGCAATTACCACCCAAGCATTATGCTTCTTTACTTTGTTATAATATGTCCCATTTGTCGGATCCCATAAAATAGGCTGCCTTTCAAACTCATCAATTATTAACACAGTTTTCTCTGTTCCACTCCATAGCCAGGCACATTTTAAAAACACCACAAACACAACGAACATTCAAAATTGCCGTATCCACTGAACACCAGCTGGCGAATAAATCCTTTTGAGCAAATCCCGTTTACCGACAAGCTTCGGAAAATGTTTGGCGCGTTCGGTTCGGTTCGGCGCAACGAACTGACTACACAAATTTGTTAAAGCGCGCGTGGCGCGTTTGGTTCGTTCGGAGTGTTTTGTTACAAGTGAATACCCACCTTCAGGCATACAAAATTAACGCTGACACAATTTTCTACAAAAATGGTTCCCAGTCCTATGGATTCCAAATTGTACAATCCATAAATTTCGATGTTAAATCAACTGACATTACAAATCCCTACTAAGAAATGTCTTTCCATTTTAAGTTTTTCATTCAAATCACGTTGGAGAAATAGGCTTTATATCACTTTTATATTTTAAATATATTTTTTTAATAATGTAATCTACATTATGATAGCGTCATTCTTTTACGTACCGATATAAATAAAACGAGAGTATTATTGATAAAAGTATATTTGCTTCTATATATTTCCAAATATTTATAAAATAATATTTTCAAGGCACATTAGCAACTATAACATATGTATATAAGTATCTTGGATACAAAAATAGAAGTAAAAAAAATAATGGCACTAACAAATGCTTATTTTCTTTTTAGCAAAGCGTGTCAAATAATGCCAGTTAATGTTAAAAAATAGACTAGTTTCAGAAAAATACCGAATAGGAAACTTATCACAATAAAGTTCAATCTTGTGTAAAAAAATAATTCATTTAAAATGAATAATAAGTAATGTAAAAAGGAATCTCTAACTTTTTAACACGCTTTGTGGAAGTTACATTAATAATATTAACACATAAGAACCATTAAAAATACTTTACAGTAAAAACTCTTATTAAATTAGCGCATTAATTTAAAAAAAATGGTAGCTGAAATAAATCACATTATGCTTAGAAACAAATTCGTTGCTATAAGAAAAATACTCACATTTAAATCATTATAACAAGTGATCCTCAAATATTATAAAATAATTCAGAAACCAACAGATTATTTTTTTAATAAAAATTTATATTTCAAAATAACCTCAGAAATATTTTAGAATATTTAACAAACACGTAAGGTAAATTCCATGCATATGAAAAAGTAACCATTTTGTAAATAAACATCTACTGAAAACTTAAAAATGCTTAATTTTAAGTACAAGCTACTTAAATTTAATTAAAAATGTAGCATAACACAGAATATGTAAATTAATTTATTCAGACTGTATATGTGTCTGGAAAAAATGTACTAATGCTTAATATTTAATACCTAAGCAACGTAAGTACCTTTCAGGTAAAATTTAATAGTGTCCACTTAGTTAATTATTGCAATAAGTAATATATTGATTGCATAATTGACGGGTATTATGGAAGAATAAGGCTTACAATAATAAGTTATTTTAGATGTATATAAACTGGAATCATTTAAAGCGCACATGCCTTTAATGCTATATTAAATATTATAAGATATATTTTCCCCAAAAAAATCCTTTATGGGTATTTCGCCACTGCACTGCAGGAAAATCTACAAGATAAATAGTTATTTTTTATAAACACTTCTGCGTTAAACCTAAACAGACACTGCTTGTCAGAAGTTATGTTTACAGTTATATAAAATTTGCCTAACAAAGAAAAAAATGCTTAACGTTTCGGAAAGTTTATCTCTTTCCGTCGTCGGAAGCAAAAAAATAGAAAGAATAAGAAAAAAACTATTTAAAATATTTAAATTAACGGTTTCTTATATATAGTTGAATTTAAATATTTTAAAGTTTTTTTCTTATTCTTTGTATTTTTTTTGCTTCCAACGACGGAAAAAGATAAACTTTCCGAAACGTTAAGCATTTTTTTCTTTGTTAGACAAATTTTGTATAACTGTAAACATAACTTCTGACCAGCAGTGTCCGTTTAGGTTTAACGCAGAAGTGTTTACAAAAAATAACTATTTTATTTTGTAGATTTTCTTGCAGTGCAGTGGCGAAATACTCATAAAGGATTTTATTGGAGAGATGAATCCGCCACATAGGTATAGACATTTTTTAAGATATATTTTATTTCAAATTATAAATAATTATTGAGTTTATACTTCAAAAATGTAAATAAATTTGGATAGAGCTTCAAGATTCCAGACTAAATATATCCCATATAAAAAATCTCCATACTTTTATATTTAAAAAATATATACTTCTTTGTTAATCAAGGCACACCTGTTGTAGAAACTTTATATTTAAAAAATACGTAAATGTATATCTTTGGAGGACGTTTAGTAAAAATATTTCCTGTTTTAAAGTAATCAAAGTTAAATATGGCCCATAAAGGATTATAAAAAGGCGGAGTCCTAATTTTTAATGTGATTATTTCCATTTTCCAAAATGGCAAAATTAGATGGTACCAAGTATAAAATATTGTTCCCGTCTTTCCTGAACGTGGGTGTTTGCAACTCAGCAGAAACGCTGATGTTGATTAATCGTTGTTTGCCTCCTAAAGAGCATTGTAAAGTTTTGGATACTTTCACCGGTAAATCAGTTTTTCGTAATCTAAAACAAATTATTTTCTATTAGTCTAGTGTATACTGCTGTATAATTCTCATACCAACTTAATACAAGGCTTGATGGCTTATGCGTAACGTCCAACATTAAGCACCGCCTGAACATCACGTTTTACTCTCGGTTTTACCTGTCAGGTAAGGCGGATTAAAAACAAACGTATACACCGAAAGTTTTGCCTGCGGTTTTGTAACTTATAGCATTGTGTTTGGTGCAGTTGAAAAAAGATTGTGTGTGCTCTATGTGCGCATATTTGAAGTCAAACTTGTTACTGACAGCTATTAAATTGAAGGATTTGAAGGACATGTTTGAAAAAGTGTAGTTTGAAATATTGAAAAAGTAATAAATTAAAAATTAATAAACAATCTGATTCTCTTTCACAAAATTTGTACTAAATTGACCGTCGCGTCGGACTCCATTCGGGTACCTCTATCCACGTGCAGAGTTTGGTTCCAATCGACCCATAATTAAGAAAAATCCTGATGATTTCGTCCATTTAGAAGCATCGGTTCAAAACGCCGACGGCGTCATCCTGTAGCCCGTCCCCAATTACGCCGAAATCGATTCCCATTTTTCTTCAATATCAACAATAGTCCCACCCTGATGAAAATTTAAACGAAACGTCGTATCCAAATTTGCAGGATGGGACCGTGTGCACCGTCGCGTCGCTCACATTTCGGCGTCGCTACCCACCAAATTTGATCGCGATCGGACGACATGAACTTTTGACGTTTCTTACGTCAAAACTAACTGTGACAGTGAATATAAACTTTATATTATTATTTTACTCCCGGCGCGCGTAAAGAAGTTTCACTTCAAAAACACGGAATTATACTACAAAAGCGTATTTATGGTTTAAATTTCATTTCTAAACTTACCAATCGAATTGTGAAAAAATATGGTTTGGTAATAATCATTATAAATATCTCTAAACATTTTTGTAAAATAACATATTTTGTGAAACTATGCAAAAACCTAGATTTTTAAAAGTCGCTTTTTAAATATGCTATACCGGGTGCGTCTCAAAAGTGGCTCACCCCTATAACTTTTTATTTTTTTAGATAAAAAAACGAGATTTGGTATGTTAGTATACGACATAAATTAGGATTGATTAGCGCATGCAATTGTTTTTGGTCACTTCCTATTTCACCGGAAATCACTACAACTTTTGATTTTTAAATGGCACTCTCGGTATTTTTTTCCTTTATTCGATAGAGAATGACATTCGGAATAGAATGACACATTATAGGTCAACTTTTGACATTCTCGCTTAATAAAAATTTGTATTTTAAAATTCAATCTAGAGTGCCATGGCTATGTTAAAACCACTAATTCTTAATCAAGGAGCCTTGGAAAAATAGATTTGATCGTTTAATGTTTTTAGTGTCTTGTCTTGGCCAGTTAGAAAATGCTCAAATCGTATTTTTAATTATATCTCAATTTTTTCAAATAGAACGAGGGTGGCTCATTAGCATATTTGGAAAAAGCATTTTTTACGAATAATTTGATACCACACACTTGGAATTTCGAGTCAAATTTACGTTACGAACCGCAAGTTATAATTTCAATTAAACCATATGCGAAAATGTCAAAAGTTGACATATGATGTGTCGTTCTATTCAGAATGTCATTTTCTATCAAATAAAGTAAAAAAATACCGGGGGTGCCATTTAAAAATCAAAAGTTGTAGTAATATCCGGTGAAACCGGAAGTGACCGAAAACAATTGAATACGTCAATCAATCCTAATTTATGTCATATACTAACATATCAAACCTCGTTTTTTTAACTAAAAAAATAAAAAAGTTATAGGGGTGAGCCACTTTTGAGACGCACCCGGTATATAATATATCCCTATTATTTTAGTAAACTTACTTGTATTTTTTTCGGTCTAGTCAAAACGACAGTTTTGTAAAACCGAATTATCCCGTCAGTTCTTCAGTAAAATGGTCCGTTTTTCGCCTAAACGCAAGGTTTTACTTGATACCTTTTCACTGAACAGGTAAGAGTGACAGGTAAAACGTTATTGGTAGACGTGGCTTTAGAGACATGGATCGAACCTTTGAATAAAAGGATTATGGAAGGAGTATATCAAAAATCTTAGATCCAACACGACGGGCTCCTAAAATAGCCGAATTAAATTCCGGTTTATCAGTGCCGTTCTAATTTTATTCAAAATGTGTAAAAATATTATATAGGGTAGACGTGGGGTAGACTTAATAATTTGTTGTTTTATTTTACGTTGTGAATAAATGTTGGTAGTTTTTAAAACTGTTATAAAAATATAGTTCTAATAAAAATAGAAACATCCGATACGTGACTACTGAAGCAAGTAAGTCAAATAGACGTATCTAAAATTTTTGGCATCTAATCTTTGACAAGCAGTAAATAAAAGCAAAAATACAAGAAAAATATAAGATTAGTTAATTTTAAGTGAATTTCATAAATGATCGGTTTACTACATGTATGTATTATTATAGTCACTTACTCGCGAAAAGTTATTTCGTTATTTCCCTCGATCTTTGACTGAGATCTACTGCACGCTACACAACCCACTATTTTACAGTTTTTTTTCGATAAATCGCAATAGTGTCACTGTTAATTTAAGCTTTGCCACAATTTCCGTCTAGATTTACTACCTTTAAACAACTATCAGTAGTAGAATAAATAATAGATAACCTTAAATAAGCTCAGAAAAGAGTGACAAATGAAGTTCAAATCAAATTCAAATGTGTCAAATTAATTATCAAACACAACTGTCAAGGATCCCTACCCTAGAGTCCTCTTTCCCTCGACCATGCATGAATACATCGATAGCATTACACTCCTTCCTTATTTTTTATAGGATCGAACTTATAGCTACAAACTAAAATTTATATTAAGTCATTCACTATACAGACGTAAATGTATACTAAGGAAAATATGTTCACTTGTACAGGATGTCTCAAAAAAGATTTACGCTACATAAAATAATGAAAAATCGTTTATAAATCGAAGGGAGTCGGGGAAAACTTTTGAACTAAAGACCTTCTCTAATGACGTCGTGAGAGGTTTGAGCTATCTAGCTTTGGATTAAGTTGGTGTTGATAATATTAAAAATAAGTGCCATAATATTTTGTTGTGTAATATATTCGTTATAATGTATTTATGATCTATCACCTATTACAACTGACAAGATTTTCGGCAATAGACACAGTAAAACTTGAAATAAACTGTCATGACTACTATGACGTTTTCATACGATCGTTTGGTATAATGACAGTTTTAGAATTAAAATTGTAATTTGTACTTACTGGAAAAATTTATTGCATATGGTCCCGACGCACTCTCCGATTCTGTCCTCTTGTTTAAGACAATGTAAAGATACCACAAGATCGTTGCCTCCGGGACAATGCAGTACTATCAATTGGTCTTGGCCAGGACTCACACTTATACCTGGTAAATAAGCATATATAAATATCTAAAAGCATATTTACAGTTGGACAAATGGATATAAAACAACGGGGCATCGCTAAAGGGAGCGCAGATCCCATGTATTTCGCTAATGGCATTCATAAAATATCAAGGAACGTGCGCTGTTTTATTAAAATATATCGGGAATTTCTATATCTTTCACTAAACTTTATATAATTTTTTTAGCTTTAAATATATACGCGTTTTGTTTGCGGTGATTATTACTAATATACTCGGAGATTTGCTAAACAGAGTATTGTTTGTTAGAAAGCATGTACTAATTTTAATCTTTACAAATACAGTAAAAATCATACAATCATCAAATATACCGCCACTGGATATTTCAATACTAGTCAATACTTTTACTACAACCAGGGAAGAGCATATAATTAGGAGTAGCACCGGCCAATAGGAAAACGTTATGCGCATGCCATCCACTTGGCAAAGAAACGTGCGAGAATCTCCATCAATCAGAATGAAAATTAAATTAAAAAGGTTATTAAAAAATATATACAGGATGGCCCATTACTGCGAGGAAGTCCAATATCGTCGTTGTTATCCAAGATTTAATGCAAAAAATTTAATACAAATGTTGCATGGTTTATAATGGTGCATATCCTAAAAATATTTTGTTGTATACAAGAATAAAGGGTGTCACAAAAAAAGTTATGATAAAGTTATAAGTTTTTTTTTAAACTGAGATATAGCAATTTAAATATTGCGATGTAGGCGACACCATAAAAATTACTCTCTTTAGATAAAGTAAATTGTTCTTTGGGGGGTTTATTGTTTTCCTCGGTGTTACGAAAGTATAACTAAGCATTAAAAAAGTTAAATTCACTCCAGTTTTTAACCAATTTTCCGATATAGTGTTTTTAACCAAAGTTTTAGTAAATAAGAAATAGAATGGCGACACGGCACAGTGCTTCATATAAAAAATAGTCTACTAGATGCAGAATTTTATGCTGAATCCAATTATCTATAGAAAAATGGGGGGTATAATTAAAAAAACTTAAAACTTTATCATAACTTTTTTTGTGACACCCTGTATCCAACAAAATATTTTTAGGATACGCCCCTTTATAAACCATGCAACATCTGTATCAAACTTTTTTTCATATCTTCGACAACGACGACGATGTTGGACTTCCTCGCACTAATGGGCCACCCTGTACATATATGTATATAATTATGTGTGCTAGAATGAATTAAGAATATATTAAATTTATAGGTAATATCGAGCAATTTTGCTTTTTATTGTGAAATTAGGAAACATTGATTTCCTTTTACTGTTTCAGATCCGTTTGTCAGATAAATGGTATAAAGAGCGAGACTATTAGCTGATTGGGCCTTATAATACGGTGAGTGTATCTTCCAACAATATATGCTTTTTTGGTATGATAACTGAGTGAAATATATGACTCAAAGTTAAAGTTTTGTCATACACACAATTAAAACTTTATAAACTGATTCTGGGAATTTATTATAGTCAAACATTGATTTTCATTGTAAAATTCAAGTCAAGTAATCACAATTAATATGATCTATAAACACTAGTGATAAATTATTTTGCTCAACTGTATTTATGCAGATACCTTTTTAAAAAATACAATACAGGTTAGTATATCAAGATATATTGTTTACTTTATCAGGACGGATTTATTAACTGAATCTAAGGAACCAAAAGACAATTATCCGAATTTAAGGATTTTAGAAAGTATCACTCTGTAGTAAAATTTATTATAAATATAATATTTACCTGTTAAATCTCTCAAAAGTACCCCTTCCTTCATATTCCTGAATTTTTCGCAGTCAAGTTTGAAAATGTACTCGTCAGTCACCAACATAACTCTCTCGGCCACTTTATTGAACTTGTTGAATTTCGTTACATAAGAAGAAAACAAGACCTGACTAAAACGCTTGGTGTTTTTCAGATTATTTACCGCCTCGTTGAAAGTGGTATAATTGCTATTTTCGTCCAATCTGCACAAATAATTACCCTCCCATTTGCGATTGAGTCCGTAAGTTGAACGTTTGTTAACCAGTGCGCTTGCAGCGCTGACTTTAACTTTCATCTGCGGCCAATCGCCTTTAGGTATTCGGCTTAGGATCATATAAGCCCGCCATCTGTTGTAAGCCGATCGAAGTAGATGGGCAGTAGGCTAGAATAAAAAAATAATTTTTATTTATATAGCTTAGTAGATAATATATATTATATTATAGTTATAATAAAGTTTTATGCAAGCCAAGTCAAGCAGGCTTTGACTTTGAATGAAATGTTTCTGTAAATAAAACTTTTTGATCATATTGAATCTTATGTTCAAGGTATTATAAAAATTGCTGTTTACAAATTGTAGGTAATAGATTTTTTCGAGGGGCAAACCTCTGGTGGTATTTATTGTACAAGCACTTGGTAATACTGGTATTTTTTGGTACTTTTGGTACTAATTTGGTATTTTTGGTACTAATTTGGTATTATTTGGTAATAAACTGGTATTATTTGGTAATTAACTGGTTTTATTTGGTATTAAATTGGTATTAAACAGGTATTTTGTTGGACATCTGGCAACGGTGGATGTAGATTTCTAGCCCATTTGCATTGAAAATGAGCCGCCTTCGCGCTCTTTACATGATCAAAATTTTTTGGTGTTGACCTATTTTATATGAAGTATTTTAAAGTTTTTATATTTAGTGTCCAAGGTTAAGTACCTACTTAACAATAAAATATACCTGGTAATATACATACTTAAGAATAATTACTTGTGTTTCGAGGTTATTTTTACCCGATATTAATTGCCAAGCTTGCAATTTTTAAATACATAAAAATGGTTTTTACGCAAAAACGGTACATAGCGTCATATGAAAAAATGTCGGGAAATAATTAAAGAACTCGCATCATGGAAACATAATATGGATCTAGTTAGAATTTCTTATTTTTCTTGTGCATATAATTATATTTTTGAGCTTATAAGTAACAAATAGCGCAAATAACAAAAAATTAAATTACTTTTTATGTCTAGTTTTTATTTAATAAATTTTTGAAGTATCGATGTTAATGGAACCGTTAAAATGACTTTTTAAACGTGTCATGACAGTAGCTTTATTCGAGTTCCCAAAAAGTACGGTTTTAGAATGGTTCTAGAACGATTCAAAACACTGGCACTATATGATTTTTTGCAACTTTTGACATGAATGATTGTCGTAATTAGACTGTGCGATATTTTTAAACCATTCTAGAACCGTACTTTTTTGGAACTCGAATTAAACTTATATGTTTTTCTGACCTAATTATCGTAGTTTGACATGAATAGGCCCTAAAGCTCCAAATATCTTAAATTTTTTAGATACTAAAAAGAATAATACTAATTTGGTATTTTTGGTTCTAATTTGGTATTTTTTTGGAAATAATTTGGTATTTTTGGTACTGTTTTCCCAAAATTGGTATTTATTGTACACCATTTTTGGCAGCGGTTTGCCCCTCGGATTTTTTCAATTTTAGAAACAAAATACAACCAAATTAATAAGCTACAAGTCTCTGTTTTAATGAGACGCACTTGTAAAACCCTGATGGCTGATTCCAATCTTAACCCTCACAATAACATTAGTCATAATCTCAGGAATATGAATCAACATGAACGAATGCCAGCAATCATGGTGTAAATTCCGCAATCTTAACATTAACAGGTCTAAAAATATGGGATATTTTATATTCTAAAGGCTAATGCTAGGGTTGCCTCTATGCCTAAACTACAGTTTTTAGAAATTATGAGAAAAAATATTTGACATGTATATTGAATCTATGGTTGGTGGTTTATAGATGCGAGCCGTCTCCTGATGAAGTCAATAAAGAATTGACGAAATATCGAGATATTAAAGCAAATGAGTTTTAACAGACTGTTACCTGATATATCTTCACCTTATTTTGTTTATAATTATCTATTCTTTCAATATTTCAAAAATATAAAACTATTACTGTTATGCCGCTGTAATGATGCTTAAGTAGTATTAAATTATTAAGCAGTGTAAGAGGTTAAGTAACTTGCCTGCACTCCCTTAGGTGGCGCTGGCCACATAATACTTTTTCCATAATCTCTCATTGACTTTGCTCTACTGAATTTCTGTTGCAAGGCGTTAATGTACGTTCTCATCTTTTTCAAACGATAGGCATTAATCATTACCATGAGCGCCTTCATACGCTTGTATTGTTGCCTTGCTTGGTACCCTACATAATATAAATAGTAAATATTCACACCACATTGTGCCTTATGTATAACGTTACCTTTCCAAGTTTTCTGAATAAGTGTAACAATTCCAGGAAGAAGTTGATTTCTGGCATTTTCCAAAGCAAATAATGTTTTAGGGGATCGGATAAAAATCTTTGTTTTCCCGTATTTCACATCATCGGCGTATCCTTTTTCGTCCATAAGAACTCGAACGGCATCGTGATCCGATCCATTACGGAAATTGGGCCAAGTAAATTGGGAAATCATTTTATATCTTTAAAAAATATCTATATTAATTTTATTTACTATGTTAGAACAACATTAATCTGAATTAGCATGTAGGGATTGTTTTGGTTTGAAAAACTTTTAATTTATTTTATTGCAAAATGATGCATTCACAGTGTATGTATTGAAATAGTACGTTTTTGACAGTTGCCGGTTATTAAAATTTCATCAGGGAAATGTGTTAAACTGCTAACTCCATTATTCCTAATTTTACAGAAGTGCAAAAAAAAGCGGCACAAAAAATGTATACATATGTAGCAAGTATATTCATGCGTTAATATTGTTACGTTTTTCGTCGGTTCCGTGTGGATAGAAAGTCACAATTTATTTAAACACTATTTATTTAACACTAATGAACAAAAATAATAACGATAAAAGACTTATAGAACTATTTACAAACGATTTATAACTAAGAATTTATTTTGAATTTTAGCGCGTCAACTGTATATTTATAACTGCCCTCTCTAGGCCACTGCCGCCGGCTTTTATACCGACAGGTAAAAGAAATCTAGAATAGTCCAAAGATCGTTAGGCGTATAGAGAAGGTTTTCGAATGTTCTCGTATGTACGAGTCCATTCTAGTGGGTCTCGATTCTTCTCGAACGAATGAATCATTGCGGTGTCTGTGCGATGTTAAGGTCATCCGAGGGCGGGCCATATTGTGAGGTTAGGTCGAGTCCACACCGGCTCGCAACACTGCCCCCTTCTTAGGCACATGCTCGTCCCGAGATGTATACGGGGAATGAAGGTATTTGCAAAGCTGGCCCCTGGTACATTGCGAAGTCTGGTAGAAATAGCAGTCTACAGTTTTCAAACCAAACCAAATCGCAAACGAGGATCTCGATTCCCGTAAATCTGAACAAGACTTCAATCATGTTCCGGATTGTACGCCAACTCAAACCATCGAGTCCACACGCCAGCTTCGGAATGGCTAATCGTGCAATGTTGTTGTTTAGCAGGGCTTCTCTCAGTTCAATCAGGGTCTTCCATAGATTGAGATAAGTCGGCTTACTCGGGGACCATTCCTTGGTGACCAGGTAGAAGATGTGCCTTGCTTGACCATGTGCATTGTCGGTTAGCCTCAAGACGCTTCCAACCTCGTGCGAAGCCGTTGTAAGGAGAAGAACGAAGAACCGGCTTCGTCGAGGTTGGAAGCGTCTTGAGGCTAATGTCGACAGCAGCACATGAGTCAACAGCCGCATCTTCAGCAAGGTCCGACTCATCGCTGATCTCTGAAGACCCTGATTGTTGCGGACACCCGCGACATTGCGCTTGCGTGATTGAGCTGAGCTGCGAGCAATTTCGAATCATGATTGAAACTGTTCAGATTTGCGGGAATGAGACTGTTTGCTTGCCACAATCCGAGATCGGCCGCCTTTCAGTCACAGCTGACTAACCCGCCCAGAGAAAGAATCCTGACCTTCACAGACACAGCACGACGACCCTGGCTGCTCTGCACCTGTTTGATCGCACGACCAGACTATAATCGAGAACACGGCAGTTGACAGTTCGGTTACCAGTTTGACCTTCATCAAAATAGTTGACGCAGTTATAAATCGTTGTAAATTTCTAGATTTTTTATCGTTAGTACGCGCCTGTCTATTAGTGTTAAATAAATTAGTGTTCGTAAATAAATAACTTTCTATCCACACTGGGAACTTTAGCTAACAGTCATGTCAAGTGTTGGCGTGTGTGATAGACAAGAAAATAAAATTGACCATGGCTCTTAAAGGAAATTGTTGAAAGACTTGAAAGTGTCTCGCACTCTCTCTCTTCCAAAATGCATTTCAGTTCGGACACTTTCAAGTCTTTCAACAATTTTTAGAGCCATGGTCAGTCTTCTTTTATTTTTCTTGTCTATCACACGCCACACTTGACACCAATTGTTACGTTTTTCGTCGGTTCCGTGTGGATAGAAAGTCCCAATTTATTTAAACACTATTTATTTAACACTAATTAACAAAAAACAATAACGATAAAAGACTTATAGAACTATTTACAAACGATTTATAACTAAGAATTTATTTTTGAATTTTAGCGCGTCAACTGTATATTTATAACTGCCCTCTCTAGGCCACTGCCGCCGGATTTTATACCGACAGGTAAAAGAAATCTAGAATAGTCCAAAGATCGTTAGGCGCATAGAGAAGGTTTTCGAATGTTCTCGTATGTACGAGTCCATTCTAGTGGGTCTCGATTCTTCTCGAACGAATGAATCATTGCGGTGTCTTGCGATGTTAAGGTCATCCGAGGGCGGGCCATATTGTGAGGTTAGGTCGAGTCCACACCGGCTCGCAACACTGCCCCCTTCTTAGGCACATGCTCGTCCTGAGATGTATACGGTGAATGAAGGTATTTGCAAAGCTGGCCCCTGGTACATTGCGAAGTCTGGTAGAAATAGCAGTCTACCGTTTTCTCTCCCGATCTCAGCTTTGGGTTGTAGCAGCAAACGAGGATCTCGATTCCCGTAAATCTGAACAAGACTTCAATCATGTTCCGGATTGTACGCCAACTCAAACCATCGAGTCCACACGCCAGCTTCGGAATGGCTAATCGTGCAATGTTATTGTTTAGCAGGGCTTCTCTCAGTTCAATCAGGGTCTTCCATAGATTGAGATAAGTCGGCTTACTCGGGGACCATTCCTTGGTGACCAGGTAGAAGATGTGCCTTGCTTGACCATGTGCATTGTCGGTTAGCCTCAAGACGCTTCCAACCTCTGGATCCTGTCGGCGTAGTTCTCCGACACGCCCAAACTTCTCATTGAACGTCGCAGCGATTCCTCTGGACATCCGCAAATCTCGAGCCACACAATGAGCGAGCGAATAATCAGGAGGCACGGAAAAGAGGTCTCGTTGATCTTCTTTGGTTACACCATAGCGAGCCTTCTCACTGCTGTTGTATCGGGCCATGAAATCGTCAAAGGACATCTCCGAATCAGGGGGATCAAAGCTGCAGGTTCTCACGGTCCCAGCACGATCTTCTATTTCGCCTTGGTAGGGGCTCAAACGGTTGAAATGGACTACCCTCGGTTTTCCTTTTGGCAATTTTCTGATACGGTATACGACGTCATTAATTCTATCCATGACTTCGTATGGCCCTTCCCACGAGGATTGTAGCTTCGGAGATAACCCACGACGTCTCTGCGGGTTATATAGCCACACCAACTTCCCTGGTTGGTATCCTCCATGCTCAGCTTGAATGTCGTAGTGTTCCTTCATTCGGTCACTAGCACTTTGAATATTTAGGCGGACTCTCTGATGAATGTCGTCCATCCTTTGACGTAGTGTGTGGACATAATCTTCTCCGGCGACTTCTTCTCCCGGTCGGCAACCAAATTTCAGATCACAGGGTAGGCGCACTTCCCGTCCCATAACGATGCTGGCTGGAGTTTGCCCTGTAGATTCTTGGACGGATGAACGGTAGGCCAACAGGAACAGGTGAAGAAATTTGTCCCAGTCTCTTTGGTGGTCAGAGACTACTTTGGCCAGATAACGGTTGATAGTTCTGTTCATGCGTTCAACCATCCCATCGGATTGTGGATGTAGAGCAGTCGTCCTGGTCTTGCGGATGTTCAGGACTTCACAGACGCCTTGGAACAGATTGGACTCAAAGTTTCTTCCCTGATCTGAATGAAGCTCCATGGGAACACCAAACCTGCAGATCCATTCTTTAACAAGGGCATCAGCAATCGTGGACGCTTCTTGATTTGGCAACGCGTAGGCCTCGACCCATTTGCTGAAGTAATCCATTACTACCACAATGTATTTGTTGCCATCGTTCGTCTCCGGGAAAGGACCAGCCACGTCGATCGCTATTCGTTCGAAGGGACTACCAACATTGTACTGGCGCATAGGGGCTTTACCACGCTTTTGTGGCCCATTAATGGCTGCGCAAATGTCACATTTCTTACACCAGGCCCTCACATCTTCTTTGCAGTTCACCCAGTAGAACCGTTCACGCACCTTGCCAGTGTCTTGGTAACACCAAGATGTCCTCCGCTGGTTCCATTGTGAACTTCCTCCAAGACTTCTGGGACCCTCTTCTTTGGAATGACGATCTGCCTTCTCTCTTCTTGTCCCTCCGGTCTCTCGATCACACGGCGAAGTAATCCGTTATCTATTACCAAGGAATTCCACTGGGCCCAGTACGACTTTACGTTCGGCGAATATCTGCAAACTTCTTCCCACGTTGGTCTTTGGCCTGTGTTTTTCCAGTTAATTACTAAACCTAATTCTGGGTCACTGGTTTGGTCATTTGCAAGATCTTCGGGTTGCCAACTATCATTAACCACAGTTGTTCTTAGGAGTTTCACTTCTTTCTCTTCTGCTCGGGAACAATGCTTACAGTCCTTAGGGCAAGGTCTTCTGGAAAGTGCGTCGGCATTCCGATGGATTGCCCCAGTTCGATGTTCTGTGTCGAAGTCAAATTCTTGTAATCGTTCAATCCATCTAGCTACCTGCCCTTCAGGATTCTTAAACTGCAACAGCCATTTCAAAGCAGCATGGTCTGTTCTTAACAAGAACTTTCTTCCATAGAGATACTTGTAGAAGTGTTCCACTGCTTTAACTACTGCTAGTAATTCTCGTCTGGTTACACAGTAGTTCCTTTCCGGTTTTGACAAGGTCTTACTAAAATAACCAATGACTTTTTCTTGACCATCCTGGATCTGAGACAGAACAGCGCCTAACGCAACATTGCTAGCGTCGGTATCCAATATAAAGTTTCCGTTGCCAAGAGGGTAGCTAAGTATGGGCGCACTAGTCAGGGCCTTCTTCAATTTTCGGAATGCTTCGTCAGAATCTGAGTCCCAAGAGAAACGCCTCTCGCCTTCGGTAAGTCTGGTCAATGGTTTTGCGATGGTGGCGAAACCCTGTACATAGCGTCGATAGTATATGCATAGTCCCAAAAAGCTTCGTAGTTCATGTTTATCTTTAGGTATCGGCCACTCTTCCACTGTCTTGGTCTTCTGTGGATCTACCGCAACTCCTTGGGAGGAGACTACATGGCCCAAGTAGTGTACCTTTTCTTGACACAGATGACATTTCTTGGGGCTAAGTTTCAAACCGGAGCTCCCTAGTCGCTTGAAAACTTCTTCCAAATTCTTCAGATGATCGTCAAAGGATTTCCCAACCACTATGATGTCATCCAGGTACACTAAACAGGTAGTCCAATAGTCCCTTTAACACAGACTCCATTAGTCTCTCAAAGGTAGCTGGCGCGTTGCACAATCCAAAAGGCATGACGGTAAATTGCCACAGTCCGGAGCCCACCGAGAACGCTGTCTTCTCTCTGTCTTTCGGCGCCATGTCGACTTGCCAATATCCACTCTTCAGATCTAACGTAGAGAATATCGTTGACCCCGCCAGCGTGTCTAGAGTATCGTCTATCCTCGGCAGGGGATAGCTATCCTTCTTGGTAACATTATTAAGTTGCCGATAATCAACACAGAACCTGGTGGTACCGTCTTTCTTCTTTACTAGTACTACCGGCGATGTCCACGGGCTGTTAGATGGTTCGATGACACCCTCTTCTTTCATTTCTCGAAGGATTTTGTCAGCTTCTTCACGTTTGGCGAGCGGCAGTCTACTCGGATTTTGTTTGATTGGTCGTGCATCTCCGGTGTCAATTTTATGTTGTACTAAATTGGTACGACCTCTATGTCCTGCTTCTCCTTTATCAAACACATCTTGATACTTGATTATCAGGTTTCTCAATTTTCTACTATCTTCGGGAAATAATCCCTTAACGTTTACTAACTCCTTAACCATTTTGTCCGGAATTTTTGAAATCGAAACTTTGGAGGCTTCCACGCTTCGAATGACTGAGGAGGCCGAACAACAGTACCCTAACAGGGTTCCCTTCTTCAAGGATACAGAATGATAATTCGTGTTCATTACTCTTACCGGTACAGACTTCTTCGCTCGTAGCAGGGGTTTTCCAACAGCGACCCCTCGTCCTATTTCGCTGTCATGGTTCCTTGGCTCCAACAGAATAATACTCCCATTATTCGTTTTACCTTCCAGGCGACCATCCAAAAATATCTCACAGCGCTCAGGGATCGAAACATCTTCTGCTACTACCACGCGAAGCGTCTCCTCACATTTTCGATGTAGAACCACTTCTTCTTCATTTATTTTCAAAATTTCTTGTTTGAGGTTTAGTTCAAAACCTCTAGTGGTCACGATGTCCATTCCGAGAATAAGTTCATCTTCGATGTCTGCTACTAACACTCGATGATTAAAACAGGTGCTTCCGATAACAAAATTAAGATCTACCTCTCCATGGATGAGAGCGCAGCTTCCTGTAGCTGTACGTAGTCGCCATTGTGTTGTTTTAATCCTTTTTGATGTTTTAAGGATATCCGGCCTGATGATCGTTTTGGTCGCACCCGTATCCAACAGCATGGTCCGTAACTCTCCATCCACGAAACTAGCCACAAAAATGCTGTTGAACTTGTGTTGTAGCGATGCGACTTGAACAGTTTTCGTTGGAACCTGTTGGGTACTGCTCCATATGTGTCCCTTTGATTCGACACTTGGCGAAACCGAGTCCACGTCTTTTTCTTGACAGTGACTTCTTACGTGTCCTGCCTGGCCGCAATTCCAGCAACAAGTCGGTCCTTTCTTGCCCATGTACTCCTCCATGACTTTCCGTACAATGCTTTCCACGGATTTGTCGGAACATTGGTTGACCGCCCGTACTCTCACTAGAGACCGAGAACTGTTTCGCGGCCTCAAATTCTAGGGCACGTGCTAAAGCATCCACCAAGCGCGTTGGGTGGGCTAGAAGAAGCGCTTGCCTTGTCTCCCTGTCACGTAAGCCATCGGAGAATGTCTGTACTGCCAACCGCTCCATAACATTCTCGGGCGTAGCAGGATACGCAAGGCGAACCAGGCGGGCTACGTCGGCTTCAAACTCCTGCAGAGACTCATTTGACTTTTGAATGCGATTTTTTAGCTGGGAATGATAGACATGTTCCAAATAAGCTTGGCCGTACCTCATTTCTAAATGTCGTACCAATTGCTGATAATCTCCCTGTTCCGATGGTGACAATGTCTGCAGAATATCAGTCGCATCTCCTCGCAGTGCGACAGTCAAAGCGGTAGCCTTTTCGGCGATTGTCCATCCGTTCGCTCTCCCAGCGGCCTCAAACTGGCAAAAATAATTGGCCCAAGCGGTTTTTCCGTCAAACTGTGGAGGCTTAATAACTGACTTTGAGATATACTTATTTTCGACTAGTTTCGGTGCCTCCGATGTTTCTTGAAATTTTGGTGAATTTGTCTTTGCTATTTGTTCTTTCAAAATTTCGATTTTTCTATTTACATCTTCCTCAATCTCCGTTATTTTGTCTTGTAGTTCCGTAGAATTCTCTATAATCTTATTGTTTAAACTTTCTTCTAAATTAAGTATTTTGTCATTGAAACTGGCTTGTAGATCTTTAGAATTTTCTATGATTTTATCCTCTAAAATATTAATTAAATCCTGGGAATTTTCCATAATTTTATCTTTCAAACTGTCTTCTAATTTTTGAGAATTCTCTGTCATTTTATCATTCAAATTCTCTTCCAAGTTAATCATTTTACTATTCAAATTGTTCAAGTTGTCGTCTAATTTTTGAGAATTCTCTGTCATTTTATTTTCTAATTTTTGTAGGCACGAGTCAAGGTCACCTTCCAACTCAAAGCAAAATGTGTCAGGATCCTCACCTTCCTCCACCAAAACGTCTCTCAGTCTAGCTTGCAAAATGCTTTTCCTTCCATCTGTCTCGCTGCTCTCTCTCTTCCAAAATGCATTTCAGTTCGGACACTTTCAAGTCTTTCAACAATTTTTTAGAGCCATGGTCAGTCTTTTTATTTTTCTTGTCTATCACACACGCCACACTTGACACCAATTGTTACGTTTTTCGTCGGTTCCGTGTGGATAGAAAGTCCCAATTTATTTAAACACTATTTATTTAACACTAATTAACAAAAACAATAACGATAAAAGACTTATAGAACTATTTACAAACGATTTATAACTAAGAATTTATTTTTGAATTTTAGCGCGTCAACTGTATATTTATAACTGCCCTCTCTAGGCCACTGCCGCCGGCTTTTATACCGACAGGTAAAAGAAATCTAGAATAGTCCAAAGATCGTTAGGCGCATAGAGAAGGTTTTCGAATGTTCTCGTATGTACGAGTCCATTCTAGTGGGTCTCGATTCTTCTCGAACGAATGAATCATTGCGGTGTCTGTGCGATGTTAAGGTCATCCGAGGGCGGGCCATATTGTGAGGTTAGGTCGAGTCCACACCGGCTCGCAACAATATGATAAAGTGATAACAATAATATTTGTTGGGGAACAATAAAACTCAATATTTATTTAAAATGTTATCGTAAAAATTACGTATTAAAGGTATATAAAGTATAAAATGGAGTTAGCAGGTTAAGAAGTTTCATTGACGATTTGTTTGTCATTAAAGTGGTTATGAGGAAAATTGTGGCCCGTTTAGTGTCGCCGAAATTATGAGTTCGGGGATTCACCAGTATAGTATTATACCGTATGATCGAAAGAAAGAAGGATGCCCTGTTCTGAACAGTGTGGCAAACACATTAGAAACCCTACTGAATCTAGTAGGTTTCGCAGCGTAGGTAGGAAGTTTTATTGTTAGTAGAGATTATTGGTAGGTTTTGTCTTAAGTCTTCTGGCAATAATTTTAAGAAATAAAACGGCATTTTCTAGCCTCAAAGTTAAATAAATTGATAGGTACATTGTGAATTACTGAAAATGGATATACTCATGCCTCCTTTCAACCATATTCTCAATCTCAGGAGATGAATTCCCTCGCTAGGAATTTAAAACATTCTCAGTTCCTCGAGAAAAATAAGAAAAAAACGTGAAAATTCAGAATAAATATTAAAAGTAACTATTTTTTAAGCGCGTTTTAATAATATTTTACAATACTACACCCTGCTACGTATACTTATACTAACCTCTTGAGGAATTTGTCATATCTCTGCCTGTAAGCAAATCCTGCTCTTCTCACTCTAACATTTTCAATAAGTCCCAGATAACTGACCTGATGTTTTACTCTCTCATAATCAAAATTTGTAGGCGACTTCACTTCATTAGGTTTAATACAGCGGATATAGTGGGGTTCCTTACTTATTAAAGTTTTAACAAGTTCTTGCATGGAAGTTTTGAATAGTGTACCTGCAGTTGGAGGCCTTTTGGTGATCTATAAAGTATTTCTTAAATAAATAAATTAGGTATACAGGGTGGTCCGAATTGTATTCGGGAAACTTCAGCGGCATATTCTGCAGATAAAAATAAGTAAAAAAGTTGGTATACATTAATGTCATAAAATGCTTCGTTTCGGAGATAGCTGGTGTAGAAATGTCATTGATATATCGATTTTTTCAAATAACTTCTGAACTAACGTCGACATTTGGACAAAACCTTGCGTCTGGGTGTTTTTTGACATGATAAATTTGATTTCAATATTATATAATTCCTACTTGTATGGGACGCCACCTACATTTTTTAACGGTTCTGAAAAGCAATAAATTTTCCGAAACGAAGCATTTTAGGACATACATTTATACTGTCAAGGTGTATGTGGCGCCATCTGTCGGAGAAGCAAGCAACTAAAACCGCAACGTGTCAAGAAATCTGAAGACATTTTTTTGTTGTAGCGCCATCTCTTAACCAAGTCGACAAGTAAGCGAAGCAGACAATAGAATGTACTAGTAGATGGCGGACCCTTCCCGATAATTTTGGACTGTTCGCGAAACACTCACCACAGCTATATAAAAGGAGCGCTTACGCCAGTTGGACAGTTTGAAGTTTGAATATACCGCGCTTTAAATAGTGAAATACCGTTAGAGTAATAGTAGTTGCATAAATTGTGTTGTAAATAGTATAAGTTGTGTGTACAGAGTGAGACAAATAAATTCGTTAAGTATTTTATCGTGAGTTTAAATCAGTGGACCCACGGAATCCGTAACAATACGTTTTTTTTACTTATTATCTGCAGATTATGCTGTCCAGTTTTCCGAATACAATTCGGACCACCCTGTTATAAGAAATATATATTTACCTGTGTTATATGTTGTGCACCTTCGGGCCACATATCCTTCAGGTTTGGATCTTTAGAACTGTACAACAATCGCTTAAAATCTTGGAATAAAGTATCTTTATTTTTGTCCAAGAATCCAATAATACAGTATGTGACGTCTCCGGCGTAGTGAGTTATTCTGAAGTCGATTTTGTGTCTCAGACTTTTCTCGCTTTGCTTGGTTTGTCGAGACATGAAGTGTTTGTGGCCTTGGAGTTGCCTATCCATGTTTTCCAGAAGCATTTCATCGGTTACTTTTTCAGCGGTCATTTTGCAGGCATCGTCCATAATTGCCATTACGCCTAGAGTGATTATTATACTATAAATATGATTATGGAAATCTTTAAATGAATAAATTATTTTTATCGCATTTTAATCTTACCGTTTTTGAAATATTTAGGTTTTTGTCAAAATACAGTAATAATTTTAATGTCCTATTTCTCTATGCGTATTTAAGTTTTTAAAACCAAATATTGTACTGAAGTATTTCTATTTACTAAAATTTGTGTTGCAATAATAAAAATTATACTACCTTACACAGAGTGTCTAAAAATTTATTTTATATAATTACTAGCTTTAAACGGCAATAATTTTTTTAATTTAAATGGAAACACCCTGTATGTATGAGAATCAGATGCACAATTTAATTGTCTATCAAATTGTATTATATCATTATATACCTATCTCTTCAAGTTCTCGTAGAAAATGCATTTTCTTATAATTTAGACCTAATTTATCAATATACCTATAGAATATTGACATTTTAGATTATTTTTGATTAAGATGTAACAATTTTTAAAGAGTACAGATACTAATATTGTCGATATATCCTGTTCAAATATTTGTTAAAGAGGACCAATTAATATGATTCCAGTATTCAAACTACATTAATTGACTGTTTGCGTTGATTAACAATAATTGCTCCAAATACTAAAAAATTGAATTTTGTATGTGAATTAGATAGTGTGGTAAAAAGTAACAACTTAAACAATTTATTTAATTTTTTGACGAATGCCAATTTATAACAACAGAGACGTTCATTTTCATAACTTATTATTATATTGATTTCTGATTCAAATCCACATTTATTTAGAATAATTTATTAACTAACACAATTAAGTATGTAATTAATTAATATTTGGGCGTTGGGCGGAAATAATGGTGGTATATTTAATTAATGGTATACTCTTTTATAAAGATTTAAATAGTTTTCTTTTTGTATAAAAATAGGCTAGTAATATTTTCGTTTTTAGCACCTGTAGATTTGGTACATTCGTTTCTTTAAAAACAAACTAAAATGTCAATATTCCATGGGTACATTGATAAATGAGGTCTAAATTATAAGAAAATGCATTTTCTATGAAAACTTGAAGGGATAGGTAGAAAATGGCTACAATTTGATAGACAATTAAGTGTACATCTGATTCTCCTAAAATATGCAGGCTGTTCCATTTAAGTTAAACAAGTTATATTGCCGTTTAAAGCTAGAAAATATTTAAAATAAATTTTTAGACACTCTGTATGAGGCAGAATTATTTTTATTATCGCAACACAATAACTGATCAATAAATAATCTTCAGTAAATATTTAGTATTAAAAACTTTGATACTCTTGGCGAAATGAAGCCTTAAAATTTTTACTGCAATTTTACAAAATTGAAAATATTTCAAAAACGGTAAGGTTTAAATGTGATAAACCTTAATCAAATTTTTTTACCTTTATTTTAATCGTAAAAACTAAAAATGTAATAATATACAGGGTGTTCCGTTTAAAAAAACACAACTTTGATATTTTTTATTTCTTTGGGACACTATGTATCTTGTAAAGTATTTTTAAATTGTAGTTCTAATAGTCCTTCAAGGAACCCAAAACTTACAATTTCTAAAAATCTAATCGTTTAGCTACAATACTCCGTGTCGTATGTGGTGAACAACCCTGTATTATATGATTTTGTCTGGGTAGGCAACGTCTTTTTGCCTACATTATATGCACGCCACTGACGCACAGTGGGGTATTTGACACTGACAGTTGATCGAAATTTTTTTATGTAGACCTTATATAAATTATTGCTATTTTCAATTAAAGAGGAAATAATATGAACAAAATAAAGGATAATTCGTCGATTCTAAAAAAAGAAAGAAAAATCACTGTTCCAGTGTTTCCACGGTCAGTGCCAGTAGTAATATCGCAACTACTACTACTAATGCTACGACTGATCCGCGAGCAATGCCCATACCACTAAAGCCGCTACTAATGCCAAATTGTGCTATACTGCTAATGGCACTAATGCGATCGCTTTGTACACAACAATGCCATCGCGGTTTACACCTCGCATTAGTATATCACTGATTGGCAAATTGGAGGAAACCAAGAATGTTTTTCTCATTTTATCAGCAAAATCGCAAAAAGTCGCAGTATTTTATTTTACTGTATGAAAGCCCAATGTTTACTAAGTAAAACGTATATAGACAATATGCTGAATTCTTCGAAATGCGCAACTAAATCTCTAAGTATAATAAAAATGTCACAAATTTAATCAAATTTTCTGAACGCCTAACTTTTAGTTGCAAAAAAAATCGTTAGTATAGAGAATATCAAAATAAATAATACGTTTTTGTAGAATACATACCTGTAGCTTGCTGAGCCATTTTCAATCAAAACGATAATATAAACGTAAAAAGAGCACAAGAACAACAACAATTTATAATTTTAAACATAAAATTTAGCCATTTACCTCTTATCTGTGAGAAGTAACAACTTTGACGTTTCGTTGAAACAAATGAATGCAACTAAACACACCATAGCAACGCCATTCATGGCAGAGATGATTTAACTTATCATTTATCTTTTTTTGGGAAATCTTAAAGACATTTGCTTTTTCGAATTTCGATCACCTTTTTCATGCTAATACCCCACCGTGTGACGGGTAGGTAGATATTTCCTCTCTTCCATATACTTTGCAGGAGGAGAAAAATATCGCCCATACCTACTAATGACATCGACGATACATTATAGAAAATATCAAAGACTAAAATCATTGTTGTTCGATTCTCAAACATAATGCAAAATAATAAAACAATAAAATAAAAATGATGATGATTTTATAGAACTTAATATTCAATATCCCCTGAAACATAAAACGTCGAGTATAATTTTACATACCTTTGTGAGGAGCCTCGACTAGATCACAAATAATCTGATTATTAAAATACTCGATATTCGTCCATTCGATGCCCTCCCTGTTATATTCCTCTTGTTCCTGCTTGAGTACTAGTTCGATAAAGAGCTGCTGCAGTTTCTCGTTACAGTAGTTTATACAGAACTGTTCGAAACTGTTGTTATCGAATATTTCGAAGCCGTAAATGTCCAGAACGCCGATCAGCGAACTCTGGTAGTTCTTCTGGAAGTTCGAGGAATCTACAGCGATGGCAGCGTTAATCTTCTTGACTATCCAGTTGAATAGACGCTCGTAGATGGCTTTGGCAAAGGCGTCTCGGCCAAACGAAGCCTCTGTTTCGGTATGTTCCTTTCTCATAATATCACCACGCGCGGCGATAACTCTTTCGCTTAAAGCGGTCTCTAAGTCTCTTTTTGGGACCTGGAGCAGGTCGGCAACGTGATCGACGCTTTTCGACTTTTTAATTTCCAATTTTTCTTCGTTGATATCGAATTCCACGTTACCCAGGTGGAGAATGGCAGCTATTACACGCCATAGCGTCTCCTGGTCAGCTTGGGAGAACTGAAAAATAATGAATAATAATAATAATGTCTGTACATCTGTGACAGGTTCATAACTGGAAAATCTGGATATACAGGGTGTCCCAGGCTGAGCATGCATTAGAAGTTTCTAGAGGACTATCGTATCTAGATCGAAAGTTTTTCGCACCTTATTGTTTCACAATGAGATCTGTCGATTAGAAATATTTTAATATGGCGGCTCTTCCGGAAATACCGGAAGTTGACAGCAACTTTCTTATTTTAAAAGGGTACCCCCATTTTTTATTACATATTTAAATTCTCTATAAAATTTTATGAATTTTTATATCTAATACTCTATAATATCAAACATTAACCGTTCTTTAGAAGAAAAACAAAAAAAATAAAATATTTGGAAAAAAACTGCCTGTCAAAAAAAAAATTGTATACAGGGTTGTTCACCACATACGACACGGAGTATTGTAGCTAAACGATTAGATTTTTACAAATAGTAAGTTTTGGGTTCGTTGAAGGACTATTAGAGCTACGATTTAAAAATATTTTTACAAGATACAGAGTGTCCCAAATAAATAATAAATATCAAAATTGTATTTTTTTAAATGGAACACCCTGTATATTATTGCATTTTTAGCTTCTACGATTAAAATAAAGGTAAATTTGATTAAGGCTTATTACACTTAAACCTTACCGTTTTTGAAATATTTTGAATTTTGTAAAATTGCAGTATAAATTTTACGGCTTCATTTCTCCGAGGGTATCAAAGTTTTTAATACTAAATATTTACTGAAGTTTATTTTTTGACCATTTATTGTGTTGCAATAATAAAAATTATACTACCTTACACAGAGTGTCTAAAAATTTATTTTTAATAATTACTAGCTTTAAACGGCAATAACTTGTTTAATTTAAATAGAATACCCTGTATATTTTACAAGAATCAGATGCACAATTTAATTGTCTATCAAATTGTATTATACGACTTTCTACCTATCTCTTCAAGTTTTCCTAGAAAATGCATTTTTTTATAATTTAGATCTCATTTATCAATATACCCATGGAATATTGACATTTTAGATTGTTTTTAAAACAACAAATGTACAAAATGTACAGGCTAGTCATCGTTTTTAGTAAAACGATGATATTACTAGCCCATTTGTATGCAAAAAGAAAACTATTTAGATCTTTATAAAAGAGTATACCATTAATTAAATATACCACCAGTATTTCCGCCCAAATACTAATTAATTACATATTTAATTGTCTTCGTTAATAAATTATTCTAAATAAATGTGGATTTGAATAAGAAATCAATATAATAATAAGTTATGAAAATGAATGTCTCTGTTGTTATAAATAAGCATTTGTCAAAAAATGAAATATCATTTTTAAGGTGTTAGTTTTTTTACCACACTGTCTAATACACATAAATAATTCAGTTTTTTAGTATTTGGAGCAATTATTATTAATCAACGCAAACAGTCAATTAATGTAGTTTGAATACTGGAATCATATTAATTGGTTCTCTTTAACAAATATTTAAACAGTTTTTTTATTTTTTAATGAAATAAACGAACTATAATGACAATATTAGTATCTGTACTCTTTAAAAATTTGGTACATCTTTAAAAATAATCTAAAATGTCAGTATTCCATGGGTATATTGATAAATGAGTTCTAAATTTCAAGAAAATGCATTTTCTACGGAAGCGTGAAGTGATAGGTAAAAAATGGCATAATACAATTTGATAGACAATTAAATTGTGCATCTGATTCTCATAAAATATACAGGGTGTTCCATTTAAATTAAACAAGTTATTGCCGTTTAAAGCTAATAATTATTTAAAATAAATATTTAGACACTCGGTATAAGATAGTAAAATTTTTATTATTGCAACACAATAACTAATCAATAAATAAACTTCAGTAAATATTTAGTATTAAAAACTTTGATACCCTCGGAGAAATGAAGCCTTAAAATTTATACTGCAATTTCACAAAATTGAAAATATTTCAAAAACGGTAAGGTTTAAGTGTAAATAAACCTTAATCAAATTTACCTTTATTTTAATCGAAAAATGTAATAATATACAGGGTGTTCCATTTAAAAAAATACAACTTTGATATTTTTTATTTATTTGGGACACTCTCTAACTTGTAAAAATATTTTTAAATTGTAGCTCTAATAGTCCTTCAACGAACCCAAAACTTACAATTTGTAAAAATCTAATCGTTTAGCTACAATATTCCGTGTCGTATGTGGTGAACAACCCTGTATAGCTTAAACGTCAAATTTAGTGATTACCACTGTGCCATAAAGAGAAGATATGTGGCTATCTATTTCAAAAATTAAATTGTTTTAATGTCATATAATATTGGCTGTAGCTGTCATGGAAATGAGAGGTTAAAAAATTATCATAAATCATTTTTTCCAAATAGAAACTTACTTTTTTATTTCACTAGTAAAAAAGTCTTTTAATTCATTACTTTTTGATCATACATGTTCATATACTTTAAAATAAATCGTCTATAAGATTTATTAGGTAAGTGTGACTAGATAGTAATAATTATTAATTCTAAATTTCAATTTCTCTAATGTCTATCAGAAAATAAAAAAAAACAGACTTATCTGCAGCCTACAGTATGTCCCCGGATTGTCTTTACAAGAGGAAAAAAAACTTTTTTATTATTGACATTTTGAGAAAAATGCATTATTCATAAAAAATTATGCTTATTCTAAAATTGTTAATCCCGTTTATACTTTTTCAAATTTCCATGCCGTTTTAGAGAAAACTAAAAAAAAAACATGAAAATATAGTTGAATTTTTTCCTAAGTCCTAAAAATCAAAAGACGTTTCTATGGTAATATCAAGGTAATATCAGCATCAGCTTGGTTCCAACGCAGAAATTAGGACCGTTCTAGAACGGTTATTGGTATCGCCGGGATCGAATTTGTGCGCATGTGTCGACTAGGACAGTTCTGTTACGATACCAAAATTAAATGCAGTTGGAACGGTTTGGGAATCGATTTTAGAATTCGCCCTGGCCGCTGTGGCGCCTTACGCAGGAATTTATATCATAACCTTACTTTTTGTTATTGTTATTGGTTAGATAGATTTTTATTATCTAAAGGATTCAAAATGAGTAATATACCGTATGATCAAAAAAAAACCGGCGTTAGCGATGGCTATGAAATGAAGATCGCTGTCAATTTTTATATGTAAAATTATATGGAGAATGGCATTGATCATCATTTCCAAACCAACTGGACGCCGTTTTTTCTCGATCGTACGGTATTTACGGGCTTAAACTAAACACTATAAGACATTTTTTAATAAATTGGGAGGGAGATTTATTTGTACGTTTGAAATCATTCGTTCAAATCATTTTTGCTGATATCCAACAAAGACTCGATATCACTGTCCCCGTCGTCACTCATCATAGTTCAAAAATAGAGTAGTAGTAGAATTGGAGTTCTCTCAAATAACACTTTAAGCTTCAAAACATCGTCAAAACAACAGATAAATAAACTGTCAAAATTAAAAAGAGAAATGGCTAAAGGTATTTAAAGTCCAGAAAAAAATCAAAAAATCTGCTCACACACTCTTAATGCGCAGGTCAGTCCCTATGATTCTTGCTTTCAGGCTGGTATCGAAAATACGGTTCCGGAATCGATTCACTAACGGTGACAACTTTTGTTGGAACGTTCACTAAACGATTCTCTCGTGGTTGGAACGCTTTTTCTCCACTGCGCAGAAGCGTTACCGTACCGAGTACGGTTCTCTACGTTGCGTCGCGTCGTTGGAAGGAAGCTATCATTTAGACTTAATTCTTTGATAGATGGTTATTAATAATTTCCATTAAAGTCATATTTTTTACTGTTGTTAAAATATCACATTTTCCGATAACTATTATCACCCTTTCCGTAGAATTCAACTAAAAATAAATTTAGTACTTCTTTTACATTTGAGAACAGCAAAAAATACGACGTTAATTAAAATTCTATTAATAACGATCTGTGAAAGAATGAAATCGAAATGATATTACCATTTACCCCTTTTGATCTTAGGACTAATTCAACTATATTTTCATGATTTTTTAAATTTTCTCTAAAAAGAAGAAATTTGGAAAAGTATAAACTGGATTAACCATTTTAGAACAAGCAAAAATTTGTATAATGCATTCTTCTAAAAATGTCTATAATAAAAAAGTTTTTCCTCTTGTAAAGACAATCCGGGGATATACTCTATAAAGATTTTTATTTGATGGTTTATTGATTAGAGAAATTATTTTTTGTCTAACAAAGCTTCTCATTGGCTCTACAAGTAAAGAGCCACTATCTGCGGAACTTTTGTGGGTAAATCTTGTGTTTGTGGGTTATAAAATTATTGTTGTTAGATAAAAAAAAAAGTTTGCTGTATTAGCAGTAATAATCCAGATTTTCTAGTATAAATATATTTATTAATCATAGAAAATTAATATTTTCACAAGGTTGGAAATTCCTTGGATAATGAAATATAGTAATTAACTATCATTATCTTTTAAATTAAATAACAAAACAATAAGAAAATACAAAATTGATAATTTACGGTAAATCAAAAGCGACACAAGATAAATAAGATGCTTTTGATTAAGCTCTCTCTTTCATTTTTTTACAGGGTGTTATTAAATAAATGCAAGCAAACTCGGGTGGTGATATTGGTGATATAAAAGAGTTTTTCATATATTCAATTAGTTACACGTATCCCTACAAAGTTAATCGCTTATCAAGGGCAAACCAGAATCATATCAATGTCAATTTGCACCAACACGTTCCTCCGGTCCTCTTCTACTGCAAATTTCTTATTTAACGCGTGCTAAAGTTTTTTTATTTTCTTATATTAACATAACTAGCCATCATAAATCATCACACAATATTAACGTAATATTTCTATACAGATATTATTTAACTGCACTTTTACATTAAGACAGGTTATATATAAGCGATATTAAATTATACTGTATTCCTCTATGTTATGGGAATGATTACGTCTTAACGCTTGAGAACCCCCATTTATAATAAACGCGGTTAAAAATTATTGCGTGTAACAGAGCTGTTAAAAACAGATTATTGTCTAAACTCGCTCTAGCTATAAATCATACTCGAGATGAAAAAACGACAAACTAGGAACTAGTTGCGGAAGGCAAAGGATTTGATAATTTATTGAAAGAATTGACCCTTAAGTGTGGAGTTCCTACAATAAATACTATCAAAGGTAAAGTCGCTAAACAATTTGAGGTTATATTATCAGGGGCGTCCAAAGCATGATGAAAAATATAAAATATATATCACTGTAACGACATATACAGGGCAGCCAGACGGCCCGCGCTTTGGTCAGGAGAGCATAGCAAAAGATATACAGGGTGGTCCGAATTGTATTCCGGAAACTTCGGCAGGATATTCTACAGATCAAAATAAGTTCGTATAAATGTATGTCCTAAAATGCTTAGTTTCGGAGATACAGGGTGTAGAAGTTTCATTTTTATTTCGATTTTTTCCAAATAATTTATGAAGTAACGTCAATATTTGGATGGAAATTGGTATCTGGGAGTTTTGTGACACGAGAAATTTGATTTTGATGTCAAAATTACTCCTATTTGTAGGGGGCGCCACCTACATGTGTTTTAACTGTTCTGAAGAGTAATAACTTTTCGACCGTACCTGTATAAAACCACTGACTAAAAAAATATACATTTCCATGACTTTTTATGTAAATAATGCCTCTTGATAACCGTTCTCAAGATATTTAGAATGGAAATAGTCAATACATGTCATTATTGACAAAAAATAAGCATACGTTGAGTGTAGTTACTTGACTGAAATAATACATTTTTATTTTTTTAAATTAATCATAAGTTTTTCTGCGAAAAAATTATGATTAAACAGTTTCCTTTGAACTTTTGACACAAAAAGATTTCAAATTTATGATTTCAGTCTAATTACTATTTAGTCAACATGTTTAATCTATGTCAATGATGACAGGTATTGATAATTTCGATTCCAAATATCTCGAGAACCATTACTCGTAGCGATTTTTACCAAGAGACCTTTTTTATGTAAAAAAAGTCGTAAATGTATATTTTTTTACTCAGTAGTTTTATACAGGTACCGACGAAAAGTTATTACTCTTCAAAACAGTTAAAACACATGTAGGTGGCGCCACCTACAAATGGGAGTCATATTGACATCAAAATCCAAATTTCTCATGTCAAAAAACACCCATCCACCAATTTTCATCCTAATATTGATGTTACTTCAGAAATTATTGGGAAAAAATCGAAATAAAAATGAAATTTCAACACCCTGTATCTCCGAAACTAAGCACTTTAGGACATACATTTATACGAACTTTTTTATTTATTTTTATCTTCAGAATATGCTGCCGAAGTTTCCGGAATACAGTTCGGACCATCCTGTATATTAAAGAACCAGCTTTCTTAAAATTCTCGTTTTCCCGACGTAGCTAGCTTTTGTACTATTATATTTTTATTAAGGTTAGATTACATTTGTCAAAAAAGTGTCAAAACGTCCGTTATCGTACGATCTTTCTCCGTTGACGGGCTGGAGTAAAAAATTTACGGATGAAAAGTGGCGTGAAAACGCTATTAGAGCGCCGGCGCGCGGCGCCGTCAAACCATCGTATCAACGGTTAACGGACGCATGAAAATTTAGCTTTATGTGTTTTATATCAGTGTCTCATCTATCTCTAGTGTATGACATTAGTCTATGTTTATGTCTTCTGTTTTTCTTTTCAAATATAAAAAGTTTGAAATAAAATATTTTTGACGTAAAATGACAATTATAGCTTATTCAATGGGAGAATATATGAAATATATGTTTTCGACAATGAAATCCAAAAATATTACATAAAAGTCAGAGTCGTATTATATTCATTCGTACCGGGTGCGTCTCAAAAGTGGCTCACTCCTATAACTTTTTTATTTTTTTAGATAAAAAAATGAGATTTGGTATGTTAGTATATGAGATAAATTTGGATTGATTGACGTATTCAATTGTTTTCGGTCACTTCCTGTTTCACCGGAAATGAGTACAACTTTTGATTTTTAACACCCTCGGTATTTTGGCACCCTCGGTATTTTTTTACTTTATTCGATAGAAAATACCACTCTGAATGTCATCATATGTCAACTTTTGACATTTTCGCATATGGTTTATTTAAAATTATAACTTGCGGTTCGTAACGAAAATTTGACTCAAAATACCAAGTGTGTGGTATTAAATTATTCGTAAAAAAATACCCTTTCCGGATATGCTAATGAGCCACCCTCATTCCATTTGAAAAAATTGAGATATTATTAAAAATACGATTTGAGCATTTTCTAACTAGCTAGGACAAGACAGTAAAAACATTAGACAATCAAATCTATTTTTCCAAGGGTCCTTGATTAAGAATTAGTGCTTTTGACATAGCCCTAGCACTCTAGATTCAATTTTAAAATACAAATTTTTAATAAGCGAGAATGTCAAAATATGACATATGATATGTCATTCTATTCAGAATGTCATTTTCTATCGAATAAAGTATAAAAATAAAGAGGGTTCCATTTAAAAATCAAAAGTTGTAATCATTTCCGGGAAAACAGAAAGTGACCAAAAACAATTGAATACGTCAACCAATCCTAATTTATGTCATATACTAATACACCAAAATTCGTTTTTTTTTTTGAAAAAATAAAAAAGTTATATGGGTGGGCCACTTTTGAGACGCACCCGGTAGCATTTAAGCAAAATGTACCATTATTTAGTCCATAATGTGATTTTCCCTGCTCTCATTGGTCGAGATTAAACGCTGGTGCGTTTTGTCAAACATGACTACAATACGGTACATTTTGCCACGTTAGCGTAAGGCATTCCAAACGCAGGTACATGTTGCTAAACACTAAAACGTGGTGTATTATGCCTGAGATCGAATGGCATTAACCTTTTCAATAGCCCTGAGAAAAATATAAAAGAATTGACGGATTGATATGACAAATACGCCAAAAACACGCCGCCGTTATACGCTTTTCTCAAGTAGTTTTCATTAGACAGACGTTGTTTTTGTGTAAACGTTGTTTTGTTGAATAAACTTTAGCATTTTTAATTGATATCTATCATGACATCTGAAGGTTTGACGTATATTTTACCGGATCAATTTCGATTCAGTATAAAATTAGATTTGGTTTAAGGTAGCATTATTTATGCTGAACTAAAAACAGCAGAAGATTGCGACGCATGAATTTCAGAATTTTCGCGACTAAATTCAGTTGCCTGGATTGTACGACGAACTTTTACTTTGTTCTTTCCGTATTGGACAGGCTGTATGGAGGTGGCTTTGGGACAAAAATCAAAAGAAGATGTACAGGGTGTGTTAAAACTAAGATCCATACTATTCATTTTACAGATACAGATCCATACTATTCCATTTTATTTCACTTTTGGATTCTTGGGCTTACAATAGGGCATTTATTATAAGGGTTTAATATATTTAGATGCTTTGGTTTTTGAGATATTTAAAGACATTTAAATATACATGCTCTAATAAAAAAGTTTGTCAACACCCTGTACATTACTTTTCAGTTTATTCTTGTGGTGACTTTGAAGCCAGAGAAATTAACTTTACTAAAACAATGTATTGCTTTCTTAAATGTATACAGGGGTATCAAAAATTGCTGGTCTATTTTAAATATTTATTTTACATAAAAACTTCGTTATTTCTATGTATAATGCAATTTTTGATACCCCTGTATACATTTAAGGAAGCAATCAAATTTAAGAATTAATTCTGAAAAGTAATGTACAAGGTGTTGACAAACTTTTTTATCATAGCATGCATATTTAAATATCTTTAAATATCTCAAAAACCAAAGCATATTAAACCCTTATAATAAATGCCTTATTTTATGTTCAAAAATCTAAAAGTGAAATAAAATACCTGGTGTTCCATAAGAAAAAATATAACTTTGGTATGGATCTTAGTTCTGACACATCTTGTACATTTCAAAATAATTTTAAATTATGTACATTGACCACATATACCTGTCTGTGTTACAGAGACGTACATATTATGGACTATATAATGGTACATTTTGCTTAAATGCCACCCGGTATACCTCATGTACATACTACCGCAAGAAATATAGGAGATAATAATAGAATTAGAATTTAATTCAAAGGATTGTACTGATCAAATTCTATATTAAGGAGAACTACGTGGATAAGCTGATTGCAAAATTACATAAATATACCTGTAAAGTATTAAGCGATGTTGTGACGTCCCTGAACTCGAACTTATCGTTGATGGTTCCCACTTTGGCTGCGTTGCCCTGTCTCACAAAGAAATACTGATCTGGATTGCGGGTTATGCTCAGTCTTTTTAGTAAGTCCTCGTTGGCTCCTGTAAGTAGCTGAAAAAAACAATAATAAACTATAATATAATGTGTTAATAAAAATAAAAAAATAAAAACAGTTATAAACAGCGCCAGTTTAAAAAAATACTTATCTTTATTAATATTAATAAAAATATAATAATTTATATGTAGAATGTATTTTTTACTAAACAATTATTAAATTTAAAAAGAAAAAACACTTCGTAGGTAATATGTAACATAAAAATGAAGTAAGATTTTTTTTCAATCTTGTGGTGCATCAATATCAACAAGATTGAAAACAAGATTGTCCAAAATAACTATTTTGGTTATTTTGGACTTATTTGAAAATCGCCAAAGAGAAAATCTGTTTCTTTTATCGAGCCTTAAATATGTGCAAATATTTTCAGGGCTAGTAGCTGAAAATAAGACTCAATGCACAATTTAAGACTCACCTGTATACTATCTATATTAGGGTTTCTAATTTTCGAGATCGGGATCCCGTTTTGAAAAGAGAGATTGACTATCAGAATGAGAAATTTAAACTAAAGAAATAATAAAAATGTCGCTGCATATATCAAAAACAAAATGAGAAAAAAGCTTTATTAAAATAGACAAAACAAAGTAACATTCATATTTAGTAAGTAAAGAAATACAATTCTTGTTGCAAACATTTTTAGCATCCCGGAATTCAATATCGGGATTCTTCTTTTCTACTAAGGGCTGTCAAGGGTTAGTCTTGGGTCGAGATTGCCGTATGTAAGAAGAGTACAATGCGTTTATAATGTACTGTACAAAGAGAGAACAGTAAACACGTTGCCAAACGTATGAAATAAACCGAGAAACTGTGCACATTGCTAAAAGACGTGGAAGGGGATATAGCAGATTTGTCGCAGTTGACCGGTCGACCCAATCAGTACCTCTGTCAGTACTTAAAGTTCTAGGGAAAGGTGTACATCATGCGTTCAGCTTCGCAATTTAATTACGCCTCGTGATATTTTATTTGTTTATTTATCCACGAGTCGTTGTAATTTTCCCTATAGCTTGAAAATGTTTAAGTGCAAGCTAGAAACACTTGCATTTTTGGTAAAAATAAGTGGAATTGAATTGGTGTTCGACAGTGGTCGCGCTATTAGAACTCTAAATTCAAAAATCGATATCTCAAAATCTATTAGAAATAATTGATTGTAGTTTTTTCAAAAACTGGCTTAATATTTCTGCTGTATTTTCTTCCTAGATAGTATGCAAAATCGCTATTTTTGGGGCATACTCAACCGGGTCTCACAATGCAAATTCACCTCAAATATCCATTTAGTTGGTCATTGGCAAGCACTCTCTCATTGTACATGAAAATAACAAAACAAACATTTACTGATCTGGATAAAATTGATAGTTAAATAGTAAGACTCACCCGGGGGTACTCCGCCCCCTAACCACTGACATCACTGACATTCTATTTAATATATCACATTCCATATCTTCCATCTAATTCAAATATTATTCGGATCTATTGGTTAATAATCTTCAACAACTAGCTAGTGTCACCTGAAATAGTATAGGGGCTTCCCCCAGACGCAATTCTGCCGCTAAACAGATTCGCATCCCAATCGAATAAGCTAATTGGGGTAGCTCACTACCCCAACGCCGCATCGTCAATCGAGAAGACATTATGGAGACCTCAAACTCTCAAGACCAACTCGAAGGCAGGACGTCACAAGTGGTTTTCTTCCTGTGGTCAAACGACCCCGTTGGCTTACAGTCAAACGACTTGCAACTATGTTAGTCAAAAGACTCGCAACCCCCATTTGTCAGCTCTGTGACAAAACACAACACTACACAGCCGGCCGGCCTATCAACTACTGACCGACCTGCCGCGCGCCGGCAAGCTAAGCCTCCTCTTACATCACAATTTTACCTGATCACAAATATTTACATCGCTTGCCAATGAATCATACTATTTTCTCTAATCGACTTTCAAATAGAGTGTTTTAGCATTACATTAACATTTAGATAAATAAATAGAGAGTTTCCGAAGGAATGCATATTGTTTATTAGAATAGTGAATAAATAAAAGCATTATTATGACGAACTTATTATCCAAGTTTTACAAGTATGTGAAAATCTTTATCAATAAAAAAATACACGATTGCTGAAAATTGTTATGCTCTAAAAGTAAATGAATGGGTTGTTTACAATTTTTGAATGGAAAAAAACAACCTTATCGAATTTTTCTTATATAAACATATTGTAAAAGATACAATCTTCAAAATAAAAAAAAGTTTCAATATATAAAGTGGTTAAAGCAAAATAAAACACTAAATCACCACAATACACCAAAACACTTTTACTTTTACACTGGACGCGCGTTTCGCTAACCATGTTAGCATCATCAGCAGATGATTATAGACGGTATATATTTATCTTAACTATACTTAGTTTTTACCTGATAGAAACAGTGAAAGTTTCGTTCTCCTGCTTGCTGTGTCGTAACTCTGGACTTCTCCAGAAGATAATTGCTAATATGGCCGCCGATGGGATCGCCTTTGAAATCGAAATGAATGTCCATGTATTTTCCAAATCGAGACGAATTGTCATTTCTGTTGGTTTTGGCATTTCCGAAGGCTTCCAGGATGGAATTGGATTGTATCAATACGTTCTTCACCCTCTCTATTTCATGTTTACCCTCTAAAAGAAATATTTTAAGTAGAGTTTGAACGAGAATAATATTGATTACGACGTGTTAATCTACACACTGTGTATACAAAAAAACGACACTGGGTGTGGATTAGTACCACTTTTTATTTAACGGACAAAACAAATATGTCAAAAAGAGTAGGTTAAATTATTGGAATAAGCTTATTAGTAACGCATCAAAATAACGAATTCGCCGCAAGACAAAGGTTATAAGCTAGGCGAAAATAATTATAGTTTATTTTGACAGTTGCAAAGGAAAACACATAATCCAAACATCCAGTATTTACTTGCTCTGTCGGTGCCGTCCAGACGTGGTAAAACTCCTAGGAAAATTAAACTGTTATTATCAATAGAACACGAAAATGAGTTCATACTGTAATATGTGTATAGTGTTTATAAATACAGGGTGGTGCGAATTATTTCGGGAAACTTCGGCAGCATATTCTGCAGATAAAAATAAGTAAAAAAGTTCGTATAAATGTATGTCCTAAAATGCTTCGTTTCGGAAATACAGGGTGTAGAAGTTTCATTTTTATTTCGATTTTTTCCAAATAATTTCTGATGTAACGTCAATATTTGGATGAAAATTGATGTCTGAGAGTTTTTTTTTTGACATGAGAAATTTGATTTTGATGTCAATATTACTCCTACTAGCAGAGGGCGCTACCCGCATTTTTATTTCGATTTTTTCGTTTCGTTATTAGTAAAGATAAATAGGTGCGGTTTGCACAAACCTGTCCCACTTTTTGTCAAACGGAAGATGCTGTAAACAAAATTTTCATAACCCTGCTCATTTCTGAGCAGGGTTAAGTTCGAAAATTTTGCAATTTGGGACACCCCCCGTATCTGCGTTATTGTGGATGATATCAAAGAATATTGATATCGAGAAGGTGAAAACTCTTGTAGAACTTTTTACGTAGAATACAGTGGCGTAGTCTGTCGTTCTACGAAAAAAATAATTTTGAAAATATGAACTAAAGTTATGTTTTTTTCAAATGGAACACCCTGTAACGTTTTTAGTTCGTTACATGTCTTTTTTATATATAATATATGATGTCTGGCATATCATCACCGAATTCCCTCTCGTTCAGGCCGGATAGTTTATTTGACGCGTAATTTTTACGTTCTCTAGTCGGCAACCCTGCTATCGTTTCACTGTTCTGTGGAGGCGCTGTCAACATCGCTTCTGTCAACTCTCTCCGTGCTTAACTTCACTTGGCTTTGACCGTCCGACTGTCACCGTCAAAAAATCCTTGCTTCGAAAACTGCAATTATAAAAATCTTGCTGTATAATTTGAATCAGCTGCTATTTCGAAGTTACAGGTAAAAATGAGATATTATCTTTTTTGATTCGTTATTATTACTGCGTATTTTTAGGATAGAGTTTTGGATGTCCCAACCTAACTTGTATTTGTATTTTGCTGGCACGTTGGCGTCCCTTTTCTTTTGTCCTCCAGAATGTCACATGGAAGAAAGGACATGTTCTTTATTATTTAGTGAGCCCTCGGAAGTAATTCGAGGTAGGTTCATTTTGTTTATTAGACCTGGTTTGATTTTAAACAAGAGTTTCGTATTTATAGGGTTCAAGGTACGGACTATTTCCAAGGTTATAGTCCTAGGTTATGGTCCAAGGTACGGGTAGTGTTCCCTTGTACCATTATCCTATGTACGGATGTCCTGTGAACGAGTGTCCCCAGTAGGAATGATTTTTCTTGCATATAAAGTGCCCCAGCGTGGATGTAGCTTGAGCCCAATGCTGCTTCGTTCCCATCCATAAGCTAGTTAGTAGTTACGGCTGTTCCAATTCACGGTGTCCTCATTCTGGCCCCTTTTGTTGTATTGAATGGCCGAGTACAGAGATGTGAGCCCACCTCACGCTGTTACTGTTTAAAGCAAGATTATATAAAGAACAGCTAAGTTTAGATTTAAGTTTTAGCTTATATTTAACATTTAACACATTTTCAGTCTTAAACAATAACGTACATCTTAAGTAATATCGTACAGACTATGTTTAGTGGTTAGATTGTTAAGAACATTCATGTCGATTTAATGTTTAAAATATAATTTAGATCTTAGGTTTCATTGCATTACGTCTTGTAATGGTATTACTTTTATAGATATTATTATTGCACTATTTTAACAGATGAATAACCAAACATAGATTCTAGAATCTAAAGGTTGCAACATCTTCGATTTAACATCACATAAAATATATCAAATTAATTAAAGTAATACTACATTTCATACATTCTCTTAAACTTTACATGTCTTGTATTTTATCATAGTTGTTTTCATAGATATTTAGTACAACTCTTAACACCACTTTCTTTGACATATAACCACTATATATTTACTAGAACTTTACAATGTTATGTACCAGCAAAGAACATCATGAATGAATATAGTCACTAGTTTTAAGTAATAAACAACTGTGTTTTCTTTCTCTGCCATACCTGGCGCCCAATATTTATAATTTCGAGTTATTATTGTTAATTAGTTCTTTCCAGTGAAATACCTTATCCACGACTGCTCTACCAATGAAAAGCTGCCGTTCGCAGTGGTAATGTTTATAAAAAACGCTACAACCCTGTATATTTATAAATCATATGATCCGTGCTATCAGCTTCTCAAAAATATATGTATATCACTCTATATTTATTTTCACTATTTACTGCAATATTTAAAAGATATCATTTTCTTATTAGTAAGCAGTGATAGATAATAAAAACATCAAAATGGTATTTACTAAAATAATCATACACATAAAATTTTATTTGAGATTGAAATATTTTACTTTTGAACTGTTACCAATGGATCTCTGAATATATTTTTCTTTTTTTATAACGAGATTTATGAGATTTATTATAACGCGATAGGTTTGCAAATATCTAAAAGCTTTCCTGATAGCATTTTCCAGGTGTTTGACAATGTTGTAGTTGCCACGATATATTCCATATTTCAAAAATCCCCAAATACAGAAATCGAGAACGGACAAATCAGGGAGTCAAGAAAGCCATGGTATGGGTCCGTTGGCTCCAATTCATTGATTTGGGAAATAGTAATTTAACAAAACTATAATATTTTCAACCTAACGAGTGGGAGCCCCATCTTGCTGAAAGTATATTTCACGTAAATTAGCTAAAGAAATCCTTCCCTGATATACAGGGTGGTCCGAACTGTATTCCGGAAACTTCGGCAGCATATTCTGCACATAAAAATAAGTAAAAAAGTTCGTATAAATGTATGTCCTAAAATGCTTAGTTTCAAAAATACAGGGTGTTGAAGTTTCATTTTTATTTAGATTTTTTCCAAATAATTACTGAACGTAAGTTTCTTGGTAAAAATCGTTACGAGTAATGGTTCTCGAGATATTTGGAATCGAAATTATCAATACCTATCATCATTGATATAAATTAAACATGTTGACTGAATGGTTATTAGACTGAAATTATAAATTTGAAACGTATTGTGCCAAAAGTCCAACAGAAACTCTTTATCATTTTTTCGAAGAAAAATTTAAGATTAATTTTTTAAAAAAATAAAGTTTTCCAAATTTATTATTTCCGTGAAATAACTACTCAACATGTTTATTTTTTGTCAATAATGGCATGTATTCACTATTTCCATTCTAAATATCTTGACAACGGTTGCACGTAGCGATTTCTACCAAGAGAAGTTTATTACGTAAAATATTACGAAAATGTATATTCTTTCACTCAGTAGTTTTATACAGGTACGGATGAAAAGTTATTACTCTTCAAAACTGTTAAAACACAAGTAGGTGGCGCCCCCTACAAATAGGAGTCATGTTGTAATCAAAATCAAATGTCTCGTGTCAAAAAACTCCCAGACAACAATTTTCATCCAAATATTTCCATCCAATACTTCTACACCCTGTATCTCCGAAACTAAGCATTTTAAGACATACAATTATACGAACTTTTTTGCTTATTTTTATCTGTAGAATATGCTGCCGAATATGTTTCCGGAATAAAGTTCGGACCACCCTGTATAAAGAATTTATTAGTGGCTCCCAAAATAAAACAAGGGACATATAGAGACAGAAACGAGGAGGACTATAAAAATTTTGTTTATGGCATCTTCCGTTTGACAAAAAAGTGGGAGAGGTGCAAACCGCACGCTTCTATCACAAATTACCTATCTTCTATCTTCACTAATAACAGAGAAACCGTATGATTTCAACCAAAATGAGACACCCCGTACATGTCTGATGTCTAACTTGTAGAATAATTCTCGTTGTCTTTCTTGGCATTAAAAATGATCCATCTATGTAAAATTAACGACTTTAATTACCCATTGTCAAACCAGATTATATGTAATAATTGGTTGTAAATCAATTTCAAAGGCTTAATAGTAAATTATTAATGTAAGCCACTAAAAATTTCGAGAAGGCCTAATATATGACTTGCTAGAAAATCTGTCAATATTTAGGTCTATTAAACGTTTTTATTAGAATTTTTTCGTGACTAGCACATTTGGTTCCTTTGAACACATTTTTATATAATTAGTGATGTGAGGCATACTGATAAACAGCTAAAATACCGGGAGTTTTTAAAAAGAATGGAATACTAATGAAACTTAAGTCAGATGTTCTTAACAGTTATTCTTTTAGTTCAGTATATAACAAACATTCTTAAGGCAGAAATATGGAATGTTTCATGAAGAGATAACATATTACGAGAGTTGTTTTTTATATTTGGCATATAGTTAGAAAAAAAAATAAGAGATAACTTTTAAACACTATTGTTTTTCGAAGTATTCTTCACGAAGAGAAATGCATTTTTGCATCCGTTGCGTTGGAACAAATTCTGAAAGTAGTTATTCTACTCCCTATTGGTACCTTCAAAATTGCGTTTTTGAAGGCGCTGACTGCATCTCTGGGGACCGAAACCTTTGACCATCCAGTTCATTCTCAATTTTTAGAAAAGTAAATAAGTTGTTAGGACTTAGGTCGGGACTGTATGGAGAATGATCCAACAATTCGATGGTTTCTTGTTTTAAAAACTCAATTGAAGGGGTGGCTGCAATAACCTGCTGCGGCTCCATTTTAACAAATTTGTGGGAAGTCGAAAAAGAGCTGCACGGTTCTTGCTGCAAACCCAGAGCAAGACAGCTCCAACTAACGTCGCCATTTATGTACTGTTATATTGAGATTGGACAGCCCATATCACAAATACCGAAGTCTACAACAGAATAGGCAGAGAGAGAGAATTGCTCAATATAATAAAAATAAGAAAAACATCATACTTAGGGCATATATTGAGAAATGAAAAATACCACGTCTTACAATTGATAGTTAAGGGTAAGATTGAAGGAAAGAGAGGTCTCGGCAGGAAGAAACTATCTTGGTTGAGAAACATCAGAAACTGGACTCACCTAACTTTTGAAGAACTTATAAGGAAAGCCGAGAATCGTGAAGATTTTGCCAATGTGATCGCCAACCTCCACGAAAAAGACGGCACGTAAAGAAGAAGAAGAATATTGAGATTAACTGACTGTTGCAGGAAATAATCGGCCAATTTTTTTAGAGGTAATTCATTAAAAATCTTATTTTTGAAAAAAAGTGGAGCTGCCTGGTTATTGAAGCCACCCCATAAATTGTTTTTCGAGCTGTGTTTACATTATATAAAGGGAAATTAAAACAACTTTCGTTGCACGTCATCAATGACACCATGCGTCGTCTTATGGAGTCTGCTTGTGATCGTATTATGATGTGCAACCAAAGTTATTTTAATTTCCCCATAGTTACATTATATAGTAACCACTTACTCTGATATAAACAACATATCCCAATATTTACCTTGATTAGTAACAGCTGCAATATACTTCATTATAATCTTCGAAGCTTCAGTTTTGCCAGAACCGGACTCTCCACTGATTACGATACATGTGTCTTTTCTCTGTTGTTTCATGACTTTGTGCGAAGCATCAGCTATGGCGAATATATGGGGAGGATTTTCAAATAATTCTCTACCTAGAAGAAAAAAGAAATGTTCACAGTAAAAAATATCACTTATTTTATCTCTTGAAGTAATGTACAGGGTTAATCACGGCAAGTCCTATTATACATTTATGTAGAGAAAAAATTATTATATTATTATTATTAATGACTCAGGGAAGATTTCGAAAGATGGTAACAGAAAGAAGTAAGTGGATTTCTTTAAGGTGTACAACAACAAATTTGTCGTTTTCAACTAATTTAAGAAAAACTGCATCTACTCTAAATTATAACCAAACAGATGCAAGACCAGGCAAATGCCAACACACCTTAAGTTATCAACTTATAATTTTGTCAATGTCAAATTATATTTCCTAAACCTTAGGCTTTTGTCGAGGCTTTTATCTAATTTGAACAAGTTTTAAATTACAAAAATGCATATCGGGCACACTAACCGTATAGGTACTATAACATAGTAGCGTCAACAGCACAACAAATTGCATTCAATCATAGGTTGACAACTTAAGGTATGTTGACATTTGCCTGGTTTTTCATTGTCATCTGTTCAGTTTTAATTTAAAAATAAATGCGGTTTTTCTTAAATTAGTTAAAAACGGCTTGTCCAATATTGTTCAAATTTGACATGGGTATTCAGCATACGTAGATCTTTAATAAACCTAATGACATCGCTATTAAAAATCAACAGGGAACAGAGGAGCCAATATTTGGACAATTCAAACTTTGCATGGGATTTCCTATGTTTCCAACGCCGATGCACCACCCGGTATAATATATTTCAGCAATGTAGACGAGATAGATATTAAAGTACAAATATATTAAAACAAATAATATTATGAGATACTAATTTAATTATTTTATGTATTATCCGATGCATAATATGTATAATATAATTTTCAAATAAAAGATAAAAAAGATGTGAATCACACACTTGAAATATCATTTATGAGAAAATTGAAATCATATTTATTTTTATTAACACTTTTTTCTTCTATTTTAAAAATAAATCTTATGCTGATAAGTTCCTGAAATATCACGTAAGGTAAATACATAGAAGTAGGTATATTTAGACTGACCGTAATGCAACTTAAAAACTGTCAGGTGTGAAAATATTATTTTGGCTCATAAAATAATAATCTCGCCAATTAATCGTTCATATAGTGATTTTTTATAACAAATTTGTTTTATCAGCTTATCAATTTAGTTGCCAAATACGACAGTGATGTGGCTATAGATTAATCTTAATAAACCAAAATAATATTATTGTTACGGATTCCGTGGACCCTTCATTTAGACACACGATAAGAACACTGGTTATTAAAAGACTTAAGCCGGGACCCCATTAGGGCCACACGCCACCCCATGCCACGCCATCCCACGGTATTACACTGATGGGCGATTCGCCTGTTCCATATCTCATATGTACTCTTTCCCATATCGCAACACGTGGGATACGTGGGATAGCGTGGCGTGGTGTGTGGCGTAATGGGGTCCCGGCTTAAATCTACAAAACACTAGTTAATTATATCACAATATTTCAGCGTTCTAATATCTTAATAAATCTAATATGTTATAACGGAATATGATAGAGAAATAAAAATTACTTGAATTGCAGGTTCGTTTTTTATGTCAATCTTTAACATCGGTATGTAATTGATAACAGATAATTTAGGTATGTGTGTGTGTGTGTGCTCTGTGTGCTTAAATGCAAAAAATGACAAACTAAGGACATCTAACAAAAAGGGGTTGAATTAACTAATAAAAGACATGGAATGCGAGGGGGTCACATTTGACTAATTCGAGGGGTTGTTCGCAAAAAAAGCGGACATCATCGAGTTTTGACCTCTAATTGGCTAAGTAAAAGCCATTTCAAAAATTACTTCGCTTGGGTCTTTTTAGGAAGATACAGGAGTCCGGTAAAAAGTAGTAAAAACTTTAACTTTTAACATCCCATAACGTGACCATCGCTGAACATGATTAAATAATATTTTTATATCAATATATTTCTAAATTAAAAAAGAAAAACGTGGATTATGATAATATATAATTATTACCACTATGGCGTTAAAATGTTGGTTTGGAACACTTTCACTAACAACAGTTGAAGGTTGGTTTGGACGTGTATGTAAAAAATTGGCGCCGGAAGGCACGTATAGCCGCCCATACTAAAATATGTTAATAAAAAGTTGGTAGGCAGTTCTTTTAGTTTCAAAGTAAAGAAATTTTTCCAATTTTTTTTTATTTCAAAAACTGCGACTATGACTGATTTTGATGTTATTACAAATTTTGTTGCAAATATTATTCCTAATCTTAAATTGAAAACCGCGTTTCGCTAACTACTGTAATTTTGGTGTTACGATTTTTTAAAATTTTTAACCCTCTTCCATACCCCCTTCCAACCCCATCAAAAACTAATGGCCAGATTCTCGGGTGCCACAGTATTTTTGTGCCAAATTTGGTTAAAATCGGTTTAACGGTTTTTGAGTTGTCGTGTTACAGACGGACAGACGGACAGACAGACAGACAGACACCATGAAAATATTTTGAATTTAGGTCATTTATGACCCAAATAACTCATTTTGAGTGAAATTAAAAGAACTTTTTGTTGCCGATCTTAATAGCCTACCATACCTATTATAATAAATATAAAATAATTTGATTCTTCAATAAAATTATATAAAATTGGTAGATCTATCAATCAATTTGCTTGCATAGTACGCAGACCTTTTATACAGAGAAATTTACTACCCGTTACATAAATTCTTTTATGTAACTTAAGATATAATAATAAATTACTTTCTTACCTTTGTATTTTTCTACATATGATTGGTCATATATGTTCATAGTTTTGTAAGGGTTTACCGAAACGCATACTTCCCCGATGTAAGTGTAGATTAATCCATTCTTGAATCTGAAAATAAGAAATATAAAGTTAAATAATGATTTAACTCAATTTTAAATACTATATATAAATAATTTCAAATGTTTTAATAGTCTTATACACCTTCTACACCATTCGAAAAAGAGTTCGAAGCAGGTCAAGGTCGTGTTTCCTCGCCTAACTTTGTCTCGTCTCGGCTTTTCTGCGCTTGTTTGACCTGCTTTCATTTCTTAAAAACGCCTCGAAACTACTCATGAAATTGCGGAGAAGGGCGTGGGTGATATTTTTTTGGCTACTTTCGGTTGTTTCCTGTTGTCTCGTTCAGTTTCGTTTTGTCTCGAGCTACTTCCACGACGCGACGTGTCGGTTTCTATATCCGAGACAAAGGACTTTTTATCATAATCTTAGTGAAATAAGTAAAGGGGCCCAAAGAAGATACAATCGGTGGTACAACTGATCGTACGATAGGTTGGACGAAAAATCGTTCAGACAGACCGTAGATACTATTGGCCACAAACGTAACGACATTCTAAAGCGACTTGTAGTACGATTAATTAAATGTTTTAAATGAATTAGTTCAGTGACTCAGTGTATGTTTGACTATGCCACAAACCATGTCAAAAAAACCGTAGCTGCTTTAGTAGTCGCGTTGTTTTCGGATGATAATAGTAATAAAGTGCAAAAGAAGAAAAGGCGCGTATGGTGTAAAAAATGGCAGACATATTCATTCGCATATGAATCTATATACTTAATGCTTAATAGTCTCTATAAATTTCAATAAATTCTGTCCAAAACTGCCTTTCCTCCGTGATGAAACACCACAATCTCACGATGTATTTCTGTATTAACACAGTAGCAACAAGTCGGTGAAAAAGCCACAGACTTTCAAACTTGTCGTTCATCCAACCAAGTTGTAGGACAGACTTTTAAACATGCTGAACTACCAAACGATTCAACCGCGTCTTAACGACAAGTTGGACGACAAGCCCACAAACGTTACGATTATCGTTCAAACAGTGGGATCAAACCAAATCGCCCAACTTGTTGTACAACAGATTGGATCTCTGTGGGCCGTTTAAACATAGACGTTTCTAAAATATCTGTTGTCACGATTACGATGATATTTCGTTAATTACATCTCGTTTTCAGAAATATTTCGGGCACAGTGTAAAAGGTGTTTAAGATTTGTGGAGATTCATGGGACATAGGACACTGCAGAGTAGATTTTAACAATGCAAAAATTAAAATAGTTTTTTTGTTTTGGTTTTTCTTTCTGACGACGGGTATACCTCGCGAAACATTAAGCATTTTTTGAAGGCGAAAGAAATTTGATTTACAAGTAAAAAACCACTGACAGGTAAGCTACTTTCCATTTGGATTCTACCCAGTCGTGTTTACGAAAAAAAAACATATTTTTTAGTTGCGAAATACCTGGATTTCATCAAGAAACGAACCCACCGCAAAGGTATAGACATTATTAATGTTTTTTTCGGTCATATGGTGCAATGTATATTAAGAAGAGCCTATTTCACTAACCCGAAAAAGTAGCAAAATAAGCGTTTGGAATTTAACGTTTTATGTAAAACTGGCTAGGTATTTTTACCACAAATGAAGAAGGAAATTAAATATAAAGAATTATATATTATATCCGTATTGTAGCACATTTTTAGACAAGTTCTTTATTTTTAAGACTTTGATGGTCAAAAATCAACAAAATATTCCTTATGTTTGGACTAAATTTTCTCGAAAATATAGACAAAATTTAAAATTCCGTTATAATACGGAAATAGATTGAAGTTTTATGATTTCAGTGATTTATAATTTATATGGTTTTATAACAAATTGGTCGCTGTTTTATGGCAAATGCTCTGCAAACCTTAAACAAGCTTTAATCAAAGTACGTGTGTTTGGAATTTTGGTTGTGGCTTAACACGACAGGATCGAGCTAAGCCTTAGGCAGATTTCTGAAATATAATATATATTTCCTTCGGCCACACACCCGCTTTACCCGACCCCCGAGAGCGACCTGAAAGTACAGCGTAATACACTCGTAAGGCCATTTTCTTAAAAAATAAAAACTATCCATGATAATATAACAAAATTAAATCCATCAACACTTCTAATGGTTAAGTACAAAATTAAATAGTATAATTGGTATATTAAAAAAAACATACAAAAATTATTAAGAATCGATATGAAAAAAAAAACATATGAATTTCCAGCTTTTAAAACATCTGCTACATTTAAATTTGTTTTTGATACTATACTTGAAATGCCTCTTGCCAAGCGAAAGTATTCTATTTTTGATTCTCATTCAATAGAATGTTATTTTTAAAACTGGATCGATGTATTTACTCCAATTATTTTCTTTTTGTTATTATTTAAATTATATGTATTTTTTATTTATTGGGTTTTTTGCAATATGGGTAGCATTATGTTATCTGTGAAAAGAAACCAATACAATCAGTTTTGTGCATCCAATGTATGGTAAGATTTTATTTAAGTTCATCTTTAAACCGTTTACACCCACAGCACTTTGACTTATTTTCAACATATGCATTTGTATACAAACGAATGGCAATATGTGTTTACAGTTGAATGCTATCCCTCATTGGCGTCACAATGAAAAATTATCATCACACGTTTTTATTCTCATCGCCTGGTAAACAATAAAACAATGAATAAATTAAATATGCCCCTTTATACCAGTCTCACATTTATCATATATAAAAATATATTTTATACAGGGTCCGGAAATAGTGCGTCGGGTATCTGTAGCTCCTAAAATAAAAAACTTTGGAATTTTGTTTAAGTGCAAACCTAAAGTACATAATATGTACTAGGATGTATTTCAGGAAAATATTTTAACTTATATAGGGTGGCTCAAAGAAGTGTGAGTGAATCGGGATGATTTTTTTTAAACGGAACACCCTGTATATTATTGCATTTTTGGCTTCTTTTCAGATCACTTTACATAATCCTAAGACATGAGTAAATATATTTCGACAATTTCACAGAGATTAATAAATAAATAAAAATTATATATCTATTTTTCAGACTTTCTTAAACAATTATTAATAATACAAGAACTGTCCTGAAATCAAAACTGTATTAGGTATTTACTTTAGATGGTCTGTACTTACTTTGCTATAAATATGGAAATCGTAAATCATACGAGATGCTCAAAATTTTATGCCAAACCTTCCAAGATATAAAATAATTTTTCTTTGTCATTTTAAATGGAACACCCTATACAGGGTGGGCCAATGAAAACTTACAATGGCTATAATTTTTAAACCAAAAAAGACATCAAAAAAATAAAAAATACCGTTTCTATAATATCGAGGGGGTGAGACATATGACGTATTTTTGAACCACCCCGACCTACCCCTTAGGCGATACCCCTACTCACTTGAATATCTTAAATGGCAACACCCCACTTCTGGCACATTTTTGGAAAGCCCATGAAAAATGCTAAACGATGATCATAAAGTTTTTAGGGTGAAATTGAAAAACTACCCCTTACACGAAAAATTAGGTGGGCATTAATAAAAAAAGGGATTTTTTCAGCATAAGTTACAAATTGGGGCCCAGCTAAATGAGGCAAATGAGGTATTTTTCAAACGACCCCGACCCACCTCTAGGTGCCACTTCTTCATTCCTCTCACTTCTAATCTCAAGATAGCGATACCCCACTTGTGACACTTCTTTGGAAAGCTAATTGAAATTGCTAAACGATGGTCATACAGACTTTAACTTAATTACTGGTATGTAGTGATAAGAAATGTAGGTGTGACAATTTAAGAGAAATTTAAAATAATAATTTATTTTAACAATTGCCCAAAATGACAGCCGTTTTGTTCCATACAAAAATACAAACGATTTTCAAATTCTTCTCTCACTTTTTGGTAAGTCTCTCTCCTGGTTTTGTCTTGTAGACTATGGATTTAGTGTAACCCCACAAGAAAAAGTCTAAAGGAGTGAGATCAGGTGACCTTAGCGGCTACTCGATTGGACCCCTTCTGCCAATCCATTGCCTTGGATAATATCTACACAACCACCACCTTGTGACAATAGAATAATGCGGAGGGACTCCATCTTGCTGAAAGTGTATGAGGTCTTCATTAAGAGTTAAATTTCCTTCCAAATCTCTTTGATTTTCCACCTCATTTACAATGGCTGGCTCTATCAAATTGTTCAGCATTTCCACATAAGCATCACCAGTCAAATTTCCGTCGATGAAAAATGGATCAATAATTTTATCACCTAGTATTCCGCACCAAACATTGAGCTTTTGGGGATGTGTGTCCTTCAACAACAATATGCGGATTGTCATCGCTCCAGTATCTGCAGTTCTGCTTAAATTCTAAACTGTTTATCACTAAAACAAATATTTTTGGCGAGTGAAGGTTCCCTTCGAATTTCCTCCGTCATTAGTTCACAGAACTGAATGCCTCTATCTGAATCGTCGTCGCCAAGTTCCTGCAGAATCTTCATTTTGTAGGGATGGAATTTGTTCATTTTCAATACTCTTCTGACAGATGTTCGAGGTATACCTGTGATTGATGCCAACTGGCGTGTTGATATTTCTGGATTGACCGATATCTGACCAATAACTTCCATCTGAATTTCTTCATTCAGTACCCTGGGCCCTGTCCTTTTTTATTTTTGACCGACCCAGTTTCTTGAAACTTTAGAATAAAATCTCTAACATAAACGTGACTTACGTTTTTGTCCGGATTTCTCTCATTGAAAGCACGGGCCGTTCTCAAATAGCACATACCTTCAGCACCATAAAGAAAAACTACTTAAATTCTTTCTTCCACAGTATAAACCATTTTTCTTTCAAATAAGCGAATCAAATAAAGGTTTAAAATACCACCAAATTTGCAAACGATTGAAAATCGATAGAAGACAGTGCAAAAACGCAAAGATAGGCCGTTTTAAGATTCCTGTTTGTTGAAAGTAAAAAAATAGATAAGGAAGAATTTGCGTTATCGCAAAATTCGGCTGAACGATTAGTAAAACAT